TAAAATGACCCATTTGATCGATAAATATATACCCAAGACCAAACCCAGTGCTTCTAGGAATACGAGGGGATCCCTACACATGAACCATGCGGCGGTCGACAAAATTAAGAAGAAAACCCAGAAATTCAAGACGTGGGTTGGGTCAAACGATGAGCAAGACAGGAGGATGTATGCAAGAGCCAGAAACCAAGCAAAGATAGAGTGTAGGAGGGCTGAAAAGGAGTTCCAAAGGCTGGTTGCACGCGAGGTCAAGTCAAACCAAAGGCGTTTTACCGCTATGCAAAGTCGAAATTGAAAACGCGAGTAGGAGTATCAGACCTGAGGCTTGAAGATGGTAGTTACGCAGATTCTGACCAGGATAAAGCTGAGGCATTGAACAGCTTCTTTTCCTCAGTGTTCACAAGAGAGGATGCAACTAACCTTCCTGCGTTTGAGGACAGACGGTTCGACACAGCACTGACCCACATTGTGTTCACAGAAGAGGGTATTAGAAATAAACTGTCCAGGCTAAAGGTCCATAAGAGTCCTGGACCTGACATGGTGCATCCTAGAGTGCTAAGGGAGCTGTGCAACGAGCTTGCAGAGCCCCTGAAGATTCTGTTTTGTAAATGCCTGGATGAACAAATGGTCCCCAGTGAATGGAAAGTGGCTTATGTGAGTCCTATCTTCAAGAAGGGCGATAGGCACTCCACGAACAACTATAGACCGGTGAGCCTGACCAGCATAATATGTAAAGTACTTGAGAGTATTATCAGAGATGCAGCGATGGAACATCTACTACGAAACAACCTTGTAAAAGATTGCCAACACGGTTTTATGCCGGGGCGCTCTTGCTTGACACAATTGCTCAAGGTATTGGATATTTGGACCCATATTCTAGAACGGGGTGGTAATATCGACAATATTTACCTAGATTTTGCCAAGGCTTTCGACAGTGTACCCCACGAAAGGCTGAAAATCAAACTGGAAGGGTACGGAATTCGGGGAAATGTCCTAGCGTGGATAGAAGACTTTCTACATGACCGCAAGCAATGTGTGGTGATTAATGGCACGAAATCGTCATCTGTACCTGTAACAAGTGGGGTACCGCAGGGTAGTGTATTGGGCCCGCTGTTGTTTGTTTGTTTCATAAATGATATGCCTGACGTTGTACACTCCTCCATACAAATGTTTGCCGATGACGCCAAGTTATTTCGGGAAATTAAGAACCAAGCGGACTGTGAAGAGCTGCAGAAGGACCTCTGTGGGCTCCAGGAATGGTCGAAGGAATGGCTGCTGAGATTCAATGTCACGAAGTGTAAGAGGATGCACCTGGGGCGTACCAACGGTAAGGAGGCGTACCATATGTCCCAACGGGATGAAGAAAATGTACTAGTTGAGACTGTGTGTGAGAAGGACCTAGGTGTGTATGTTGACAATGAGCTGAAGTTCTCGGGCCATTGTGAGAAGAAGGTAAATCAGGCAAATAAATTATTGGGTCTTATAAGAAGGTCGTTCAGATATCTAGACGGTCCGTCCCTCGTGACGATCTTCAGGAGTGAAGTGCTTCCCCATCTGGAGTACTGTCACCCCATCTGGTCCCCGAGATATGCTAGGGACTGTCAGTTGGTTGAAAATGTTCAAAGGAGGGCCACCAAGCTGGTGCCTGCACTTCGGCATCTCAGCTACCCTGCGAGATTGGAGCGCCTGAACTTGCCTAGCTTATACTACAGACGGGCAAGGGGGGACCTAGTTGAGGTTTATAAGCATCTCAGGGGGCACTACTCAGTTGAGTGTCCTTACTTGGAGCTGGCGGACGCTCGCCCCACAAGGGGTCACAGCTCAAGATTGAAGAAGCCGCAAGTCCGGAAAACCGTGAGGGCAAACTTTTTCGGAGTGAGGGTTGTAAACTCTTGGAACAATCTACCAGAGAGTGTTGTGACGGCACCGAGTGTGAGCTCTTTCAAGAGAAGACTTGACCAACACTGGAGCGGGTTCAGGTACATTCAGGAGCCGGTGCATGCCCAGTATTTGCCAACAGTGCGTGACAGAGACGTGACCGATCGCCCGGGCGGCTAGCGAGCCGACCTTTTGGTGAAGAATATAAAGGAAAAGAGTCGTGACCGATCGCCCAAGCGGCTAACAAGCCGATCAGTGGCGAAGAGGATAAAAGTAAAAAAAAAAGTAAAAGCAACAATATTTACTTTAGCATTATATATAATTAAAGCAGTCCTCGTAGAAGAGTGAAGTAGAGAACAGATAGGAGTTTAGATAAAAGAAAATGATTCAATCATATGCATAACTAAACAAGATTAAATTAGCCTTCGTCGGCATTTGAATCTTAATTTTTATTAAATTTACCATTTCACTTATTTATCAGACATCATAAACTTTAGCTCCGCCCAAGGACTACGGCCTTGCCTTGGATGACGTTTGATTTTTTTTTTTAGAATACTCTTAAGGCTTTTATGTGGTCAGGAATAACAAAATGTATGCCTCATGTTCTCATACTCCTCCAAAAGTAAGTGATATTGAAAAAATAAATTATACATATAAATATATATATATATATATATATATATATATATATATATATATATATATATATATATATATATATATATATATATATATATATATATATATATATATATATTACAAGTGAACACCCGGGAGGTGCCGGGCATTTTGCTGATGATAAAGACAAAGCAACTCAATTTTAGAGCTTATTAGCAATGCGAAGATTTTTCTTTTGCCGGACATGGTAAGGTGAATGTTTGATCGTACTGTGGACAACTGGATATTGCCTTACAATGTACGGACTTTAGAAAATACAGCAAGTTTTTCTATGCGTTAAGCATCACGACCGTTGCCGGTGAACTAAGTTATGTAACTCTGGTTTTTCTTATATTTTGGGTTATATCATCATGTGTTTTTTGTCAGACGTGGCAAGAATAATGCCTCACGATCTTCTGGATGACCTGATATTGACTGACATTGCAGAATTAAGAAACTCCAAGAAACCTTCAGGGGTTAAGTTATCATACTCACGGTGTAAGTCAACATACTCCAGGGGTTTAGGTATCATACTCCAGGGGTTAAGGTATCATACTCCAAGGGTTAAGGTATCATACTTCAGGGGTTAAGGTATCATACTCACGGTGTAAGTCAACATACTCCAGGGGTAAAGGTATCATACTTCATGGGTAAATGCACGTTAAGATGTGAGCAGCTGCATTTAAGACAGATAAGCTCAGTGTGATCATAATCTCCAGAGTAAATCTTTCTCCTCAAGACGAAGGTGGCTGAGGAAAGTGATAGATCATAGCTGCGGTGGCTGAGGAAGGTGGTAGATCATAGCTGTGGTGGCTGAGGAAGGTGGTAGATCATAGCTGTGGTGGCTGAGGAAAGTGATAGATCATAGCTGTGGTGACTGAGGAAGGTGGTAGATCATAGCTGTGATGGCTGAGGAAGGTGGTAGATCATAGCTGTGGTGGCTGAGGAAGGTGGTAGATCATAGCTGTGGTGGCTGAGGAAAGTGGTGAGACGGTTGCGGGTGGCGGGAGGAAGGTAGACTGCAGCTGTGTGCTGAGGAAGGTGGTAGATCAGGCCGTGGTGGCTGAGTGAATGGCAGATCAGGCCAGTGGTGACTGGAGGAAGGTGGTAGATCATAGCTGTGGTGGCTGAGGCCGTGGGATCACAGCTAGATCATAGCTGTGGTGGCTGAGGAAGGTGGTAGATCATAGCTGTGGTGGCTGAGGAAGGTGGTAGATCATAGCTGTGGTGACTGAGGAAGGTGGTAGATCATAGCTGTGGTGACTGAGGAAGGTGGTAGATCATAGCTGTGGTGACTGAGGAAGACAACATTGTACACATTACTGTATGTATATCTAGCAAGACATGGCAGGTTACTGGTCATAAGTCACCAACCATAAGTTACAGGTTACTGGTCGCAGGTCATAAGTCAGTGGTCACAGGTCACTTATCACTTCACATGTCATTGGTCACCGGTTACAGGTTGCAGGTCACAAGTTACTGATTATAGTTGCAAGTCACAGACCACTGGTTACAGGTTGCAGGTAACAGGTCACAGATGATCGGTTGCAGGTCACAGATCACTGGTTACAGGACGCAGGTCACAGATTACTGGTTACAGGTCACTGATTTTAGGTTACAGGTTACAGATCATTTGTTACAGGTGATAGGTCACTGATCACAGGTCACAAGCCACAGTTCATAAGTCACTGGTCACAGGTCAAGGTCACTGGTCACAGATCACAGATCACAAGTTACTTGTTGCATGTCAGTTGTCACTGGTCACAGGTGACCTTACATTTAAAGGTCACTGGTTACAGGTCAAGGTCACTGATCACAGATCACAAGTCATAGATCACAGGTCACGAGTGTCTTCGGGATAACGCGGATGTACACAGTCGGGAAGTCCTCTTATTTGTGTGTGTACTTGAGGCTTCTAAGAAGTGTCTGCGTGTGGGGGAGTGTACACTACCCCATGCCGTCTCCCCCCATTCCTCCTTTCCCGAGTTTTTTCTGCTATTCCCCCTCCCCTTGCCTCCTCCTCCCCTTCCGTCATTCTTGCATGCTTCTCCCCCACGGCTCTTTGTTACATCGTGAGTACAATTTCTTACCATACCAAGGTGACTTATTCCTATAGTATGATTAATTACCTCAAGAACTTTGTCTTAACCCCTGAGAGCGAGGACTATTCTCACCTGGAGAAGATGGCCTTGTACCCAGCGAAGATTTACTCATCATACTCACAAGGTCAGTAGAAATAAAAATAACCAAAAATAAAGGTTGCCCTCTGCAGTGAAATTCTGCTGAATACATGATGGTCAGAAGTGGCGCAACGTGTGTAAACAAGTGAATCAGCTTACCGAGTGTAAACATTGGCGCGACCAAGATGAAGGACTGCCCGAAGAATGACTGTCTAATGTAAAGTCGGTATTGGGGGTGAGGTACGGGAGGTAGGGAGTGGCAGATGTGTGTATATAAGTGGCTGAGGTAGTGGGAGACAGTCAAACCTGGACGAGAGCCGGTCAAAGGAGGAACTTCTCACCTAACTGAACCGTCATCATGTCTCGCCTGTTGCTCTTCTCTCTCCTTGCAGGTCAGTTGTTGTTGAACTACTGTGTCAGGTGTTGAACTACTGTGTCAGGTGTTGACCTAATATGTCAGGTGTTGACCCACTGTGTCAGGTTTTTACCCATCTCACCTACTGTGTCAGGTATTGATCTCCCCCAATTACCATGCTAGATTTTTTCCTATTTCATCAGGGTGAGGGTGCGACACTTCAGGCCTCTACCTCACACTAGTTAACTTCTGACCTCTGTTCACAGTACAGTTAACCTCTAACCTCTACCTCACACTACAGTTAACCTCTACCTTACACTACAGTTAACCTCTACCTCACACTACAGTTAACCTCTACCTTACACTACAGTTAACCTCTACCTCACACTACAGTTAACCTCTACCTCACACTACAGTTAACCTCTACCTCACACTATAGTTATTACCTCTACCTCACACTATAGTTATTACCTCTACCTCACAGTGGTGGTCGCCCGGGTCGCCGCTAATGGTCATGATGTGGGTCAACCAGCCACGTTTGACTGTACTCAGGATGGCTTCTTCGCTGACCACGGCCGCAACTGTGTTGTCTACTACCGCTGTGCCAACGGTGACATGACCGCGTGAGTGTACCCTTCCACACATGTACAGGGCACCTGTACACGTGTACAAAACACTTCATTACGTGAGCATAAAATCTGCAAACAAATATACAGCACTTTCACAAGTATACACAACACGTGGGACCTATGTAAAACAAAACAAAAAAACTTCCTTACGCACACGTACACGTGGGAAATTTTCACTGATACTGATAATATCTGTATTGATGCAATTTTGTTCTAAATAATAAAACAAAAACAGTGTTAATAATAATAATAATAATAATAATAATAATAATAATAATAATAATAATATCACAGGTTCGGGTGTAACAAGGGACATCTGTTTGACGAGACCAGCAGCAAGTGTCTCCCAGCCGACAGCGTCACCTGTTAGCAACATTACCGTCAAACCCCATCTGTCTCTTCGTCATGTAATCTGAATCTTTACACCAGCTGTCTCCCCCTCTATATCACATTAAAGAGGAGTCTACGCTATCTTTCTCTCTCTAAATCACGTTAGCAGAGGCTCTGCACAAGCTGTCTCTCTACGTCACATTAGCAGAGGCTCCGCACCAGCTGCCTCTCCCTCTACGTCACGTTAGCAGAGGATCTACATCAGCTGTCCCTCCCTCTATATTACGTCAAAAAAGGCTCCGTACCATCTTTCTCTTTCTCTGTCACTCAAAATCTAAATTCCCCATATTATAGAGACAATAAACTCTTAAAAACAAATAAACATTCAATTTATTACCCGAAAGAATACACAAGGATAACTGATTAATACCTTGAGAATTTAAGTTACGCATTAGCATATCTATTTTAGAGATGGTAATTAACTTGCAATCGCAAGTTGATGCTGGCCGGATTACTCGTTTAAGAGTAAGATGATACACAGATGGCCGCTCAATAGGAAGATTTTCCTTTATATCATTCAGTGTATGAGTTATTGATGCATTATTGCAATAATGATAGAATAATACTGTACAATAAACAAGTGATAGCCCTGTTCATCCAAATACTCTGTGCATACCTCGTTCACATTATACGAGGGATGAAGCCAACTAATACGTCACTTTGGTGGGTGATAATAGATAAAAAAATTCCACTGATTCAATGGGTTCTTTGTGATTTTGCACTCACACAATAAATATATATATATATATATATATATATATATATATATATATATATATATATATATATATATATATATATATATATATATATATATATATATATATATATATATATACATGTGTGTGTGTGTGTGTGTGTGTGTATGTAACCGATCGGAATTCTTATTAGGGTTGATTAATGGATGCTAATGCAGTGGAAGGGCCCCTCAGAATAACCAATGAGCACGAACAAAATTTATATATTTACTTTTTGTATTTACCGTGACTTGGACTGGTGTTCCTGAGATTGGGGTTAAAGAGATGAACAGGTAATGGCATGACACTTGTATTAATCATCAGCAACAACCTTACAGCACTAGAAAATTATTACTTACACAGGAAATATAGTTCATTTCGATTTACACCTTCAACACATCTTACATCACTAGACGCCAATACAATCTTTATAGAAAAAATATGGGACTGGTCCCAATGTGAGCTCGCACGACCCAACCCAAGACCCGTACACGTCCCATTACACACCGCGCGTCACAACAAATTGGAGGATATGACCTCACCAGCTCAGGAATTGACAGACTTCTACGAACAGTAAGTTGTGCTAAACTTCACCGTGCACGCTACCGCACACAGAGGACTGTTCAACACAACCTCTATCTCATGTATGTACAGAACGACACCTCTTCCATTATCATCCCTGTATGACGTATAGTTCCTGAAGGAGAGAGGGTAATCCTCCTCCCCCTCCAGGAGTGTCTCTTGTAGACAGAATATATTTGGCACGTGTTTTGATTACAAGAGCGCAAAGTGCGTGTGTTTAATCCGAACACCTCTACAATTCCACTGCAATATAGTGAATGTTACGGTTTAAGAACGGCTACGGGAAACGTTCTTCTCCCTGTAGTGAAGTTGGTGACCTCCATGGCGTCCGTAGAATCCACGGAGGAACGGTTGTGAGATGACGAATCTCTCCCATGGGACAAACACTTCACCTATTGAAGTTGCCGGTTAGTGCCCAGTTGACAGCCCCTATCCATCAGGATGTGAATCTCCGGTTTCTAGACACTGCCCTGCTTTGGCCTCTCAACTGGGTTTCCGAACCTTGTGATAAGGGTTATGTTGGTTGATAGAGTTTTATTTTTTAGTAGAAGTTATCTTTCCATCACAGTGCTTCTGTTTATCGTAGAGACTCTTACCTCTGCAAGGATGGGGGGGCATGTAACATATTTCTATGTTTAGCTAATAATCCTAATTAATTCCATATTATATTATATATACCACCTGTAATGTATGTAAAGGATTGTATTGGAAATTATTGCATGTGTTAAAGGTTGTGTCAGATTAATAAGCTACTGTTTCTTGTTGGCATCAGAAACAGTAGCTGACCTGAACTGGCTTGATCTAACTATCCAATTGATTCACAGTTCATGAGAACAAGTCGGAACATCTCGTATCTTTCTATTTAATTTCGGTCGACTAATCATCATCTCCCCTAAGCTCTAGCCCACTTAGAATCCAGGAAGCCCATAGCCAATTAGAATTCTGTCTTGCTTTGCATAAAATACATTCTGTACTTACAATGAGACTCGCCAGTGTTCACACAATACCTGGGTTTACTCTCAGTTCTACAGAACCTTATTTACTGCTAAGTATCTTGCTGTCATTGGCACTTTTTTATATCAGATAACGTAACCTCAGCCATTCCTCTAGACCTATGGTATTGTCTCACCTCTCACGTTCCTACATGACTAGCAGTAAATACTCTTCCCTTTGCGCTTGTGATTGTCCATGTGGAGATTTCCCAGCTTTTCATTTTATGGTCTTATAACCTCTACTCAGAACTGGCTTAATGTTATATGTTATTAAGTTTCATGTTAACTATTCGTGTAACTGTTCTTTATGAATTTACTCAGTGTTTGTTGTTTCAGACCGAAATGTAAATAGTTATAAGTGAATTAAAGTTAGGTTTTTTTTAATTATTATTTCCCTTCATAACATCTCCCCTTGTCGAAAGTAATAATATTTTAAGTACAAGTTTGGTTTGATGTTATTTTTGGAAGTAGAGCTGACCATCTGCTACTAAACCCTACCTCATCAGTCAGACTGATACGTACAGGTAGACTAAACAGGTCATAATCTTTGGTTTAATGATCAATGGCAACTTAAAATATAACAATAAACAGTGAAGCTATACAAACACTGTACATAAACATCACAAGTATTCAACGAACATGTTACTACACGAGGTCAGTGGGTGATTCAGCGCTTCCCTGGCCTCACCAGTAACCTCCCAGCCCTCAGCTCTCTTCCACAGCCTTCAGACCTCCTCCCCAGCATTCAGCTACCCCTCCCCAGCATTCAGACCTCCTCCCCAGCATTCATCTATCCCTCCCCAGTTTTCAGCCACCCTCCCCAGCATTCAGCTACCCCTCCCCAGTTTCCAGCCACCTTCCCCAGCATTCAGACCTCCTCCCCAGCATTCATCTATCCCTCCCCAGTTTTCAGCCACCCTCCCCAGCATTCAGCTACCCCTCCCCAGTTTCCAGCCACCCTCCCAGCATTCAGCTACCCCTCCCAGTTTTCAGCCACCCTCCCCAGCATTCAGCTACCCTCCCAGTTTTCAGCCACCTCCCCAGCATTCAGACCTCCTCCCCAGCATTCAGCTACCCTCCCCAGTTTTCAGCCATCCTCCTCAGCATTCAGACCTCCTCCCCAGCATTTATCTACCCCTCCCCAGTTTTCAGCCACTCTCCCCAGCATTCAGACCTCCTCCCCAGCATTCAGCTACCCCTCCCCAGTTTTCAGCCATCCTCCACGGTCTTCAGCTCTCCTCCCCAACCTTCAGTCCTGTTCCCTAGTGACCAGCCCTCTGCATCTCATCACTCAATATGTAGAAAAAGTCATGTATGTTGGGGTGATATGTACCCACACACACACAAAACTACAACAACATGTGACCTTAAACATTTAACTAAGTCATCAAGTCATAATTTATATATAAAGAATTATGTGTATTTTCTTACATATTGAGGTTGCTCGAGGATTTGGCAATGGACACGTAGATATAGGGGTCACCTTGGTTCTTCAGCTGAGAGACCTGTCACCAGGTCCGGGTCTTGTGAGTAAAGGATTATGTTAAGTAGTTCTCGAGTCCATGACCAGCCCAATGCTGTTTTAGGAACGTGTGTGTGTGTGTGTGTGTGTGTCTTTGAAGATGTTTGCAGTATCTCTATGAACCTGTGTGTGTTTGTGTGTGTATTTCAGCATGGGTAGGAGTATGGGTCAACAGGGTGTATGGGTAAGCATGGGTAGGTTTATGGGCCAACATGGGTAGGTGTATGGACCAACATGGGTAGGTGTAATATAGGTAGGTGTATGGACCAACATGGGTACAGTCCCGGACGAAAACATTTTATTGAGTCAAGGTGGATGGTGTGAAGTCAGCCCCACCCTTACTGGGCGGCGGGTCGTTGTCAGTGATGCCACTCGTGAAAAAACAAAGTTTACCAGATTCGTGTCCGAATATTTCCAAATTGCTAAACAAAATTTCGAGCAGAACATCTCCAACAAGTTTCTCTTGATCCTCAACAATGCGTCATCGTACCCGCCTACAATGGGTGAGTGGAATAACTATATCAGTATGATGTTTCAGCCCGCCAACACCACCTCACTCATCCAGCGGATGAATCAAGGAGTCATCGCAACCTTCAAGGCCTACTACTTGAGGAGGTTGATGAAGCAGCTGTCTGAGGTAGCAGATGGGGAGGGAAAGCCGACCATCAAAGAATTCTGGCATAGCTACAACATCCAGCACGCCACACACAGCAACGACTAGTAGTGGAAAGAGGTCACAAAAGCTGCCTGAATGCAACATGGAAGAAAGTGTGGCCCGAGCGTGTACACGACTTAGCAGCTTTACAGATGTTGTAGCCTACACCACGACATCACCAGCATCTCCCAGGAAGCTGGCTTTCAGGAAGTTGATGAAGGGAATGTGGCTGATGTCTTGGAGAGCCACTCTGAGGAGTTCAGCACAGAGGACCTGTTGCTCCTGGAAAAGCAGCAGAGAAAGGAGGAGTTAACGGGTGAGGAGGACAACCCTGCACCCATGATGCTGACTTTGAGGATGCTGAGTACTGCACTTGACTGTGTGGACTCAGCAATAGAGCTCCTTGCTGAGAATGACCCCAACTTCATCTGTGAGGGTAGTGGTGGAGGGCATGGTCTGTTACAAGGAGCTGTACCTTAAAAAGGAGGCACGCCAGACAACAATCACCTTTTTTCACACCCCACCACAGTCAGAGCCACAACCCTCAACTTCTGACACCTCTGCAGGCCCACCCAGGAGCTTCAACCTCTTTAAAGCCAGGCCAAAGCTTACGCCTCCAGCCCCCAAAGTAGAAGCCCATTCTAGGACTCTGACTCTGTCTCCAGCCTCTCCAGGCTTCCCACAGGTTGTGTGGGTGTCAGAGTGATGTCTCCACTCCACTTACAAAAGTCCTCTTAGCCTTGAAGGGGATATGTGATGATGACCAGGCTTATTCTTCAGGATGTGGTGAGTGCTATTAAATTGTTTTCTATTGGTTTTATAAGTGTAGGAATTTTTTTGTTGGTGATACATGTGTTTTTGGGGACTGGCTGGGAACATATCCCATTGAACCTAATGTTATAATGCTCCCTATCTACAATATTTCACCAAGCGATGGGTTTTTCAGGAACTTAACCCCATTGTTTATCGAGGTTTACCTGTACACAGTATACTGTACACTCCCCAGCAGATGCTGTCATCTTGGGCTTGTGATGCAGGCAAGTCAAATGGTGATATGATGATGCAGGATGGCCTGCTTTGTCCTGTACCATCTACTGTAGCAGGTGTTACTAACTGTTACTCTCCTCTCCCTCCTTCATGCACTGTACACTATACATACACCTCTACACACTAGCCTACAGTAGGCAAACACTGTCCACTCTGTTATGTAAAATACAGTGATCCCTCGGTTAACGAGATTTTGGTTAACGAATTACCTTCCATAAGATTCTTAACTTAGGTTAACGAGCAATCCCTCAATTAACGAATTTCTTACGAGCGCCCCTCCACATGTTTTTGCTTGTATTTGGCGGTCCACCAGCTGTAGTATTAGTCCGCCAATACAGTAATCGGTTCTAGGGCTTAAATTCCTTACTATTTTAGTAAATATCAAGAAGTTTGTACTACAGTATTCAATAATTTTAAAAGTTTTGTTAAATTTTTTAGTCATTTTAAAAATTATTGAACATAATTGAAGTATAGAAAGCTAGTTTTTTGCGCGCCAAACAGCCTGTCAACACACCATAGAGGCGTCAGTCTCTGTCTTTTCAGTGGAGGTAACATCTTGCTTCAGACTCTCTTCAACATAAATGCTTTTTTCTGTGTTTCCAAGCAAATTATTGGTCATTTTGAAATTTATTTTACATATTGACAATATATAATGCAGTGCAGTGTTGATTTAAAGAAAATAATCTTGAATTACACCAGAGCTAAAATTTTATGGGTGAAATGGTGCCATGGGGTGACTTCTCTTCCACCCCAATGCCTTCTCTTCTCCTTTCTCCTCCACCCCCATTCTAATTCCCATCATCATCATCATCATCCAGGAGCCTTCTACATACACACCTCAAAGTAAGTGTACTTTACTACCTTTTTTGTTGACTTTAGGTAATTTTCGGTGAGCTGGAACCAATTGCCCAAAAACCCATTGAAACAATGGTTTCGGTTAACAAATTTTTCGGTTAACGAGCAACCTTCTGGAACGAATTGTGCTCGTTAACCGAGGGACCACTGTACTTAAACACCTACTCTGACGAAACGGAAAGATTTTCTTGGAATCTCTCTGAAAAATGTGCATGATTTCATCCTTGGAAACTCATTTCCATGCCGAGAATGAAGAGTGTTTTCTCGGAAGGCTCAAAATTTATTCGGCGATTGGAAAGTTCTGGAGACTGGAGATTCTGGCTAACGGGGAGATTACTATAATATACAGTACAATACTGCGATCAATTATTACATTAAAGCTTGTGTTTGAGTAAGGCAGACAGGTTGGAAATGTGAGAAAATTATAGTTTTATCTGATTGGTTATTTTTTTTTAAATACTGTGCTATCCTCTCTTATTGCTTACAATATATCAGATTCAGCCTTAGCACAATAATTTCTGTGGATGAAGCAGAGGTACAGTACTGTATATAGAGACAGTTAATCCCTAAAATTGGTTCAATAAAATGAGGGAAACCGGGGAGTTAACATTTATTTTTAAAGTTAGTTACCGGTTAATGAATCACCTATGTAACTGATAAAATATTCCACAATTGTCTTTTCTTATAGGAATATTTCTGAAGAAATACAACAAAATATTATTACAAATTCAATATGAAGTCCCCTGATCTGCACTAGTTAAAAATGAAGGCTTGATCTTTAAACTCCATTTTACAACAGCCAGTGAGGAGTGACATGGGTACGGTATGTCTGCCTATGGAAACCTGTGGTGTAATGGTCAGCATGCTCGCCTCACAAGCGAGTGGACCTGGGTTTGATCCCCAGGCAGGGTGAAACTATTGGCAAGATTCTTTACACCATTTCCTCTGTCTACCCAGCAGTAATTGGGAACTTGGATGTTCATCGATTTGCGAATCATGTTCCCGGGGTAATGGTTAGCCAGTGCAGTTGAGAGTTGTCCGGTCTTCTCGGACTATTCCTTGACACTGGGTCATGCAACTCGTTAATTTAGGGTGTGGTTGTTGTGTTGGAGACAGCTTCTACACCTTAAACAAATTCACGCCTAGGTGGCCCTTGGGCCAGCCATTCTCATTACACGAGGGGCGACCATTACAGATCTTTAACTCGGGCAACCCTAAACTAATGCAACTGGGGTTAATCCAGAGTCATAACCTCTTCGGGAGGGCTCCCTCTGCACCACTATAAAATATCTTCATCATCCAAAACTATTTACTGCCTCACTTGTCTGTCAATTTAATAATTTCTGTATGTTGATTGATGTCAAAGTATTGATGTGGCATGGCCATGTGTTAAGACAAGTGATGGAAAGGCTGCAAAGGTAATGTTTACGGAGAAATTCAAAATTCTAAAAATTTGTGGTAAATATATACACAATACATGTTACAGAACAGTGTTATGGAAATACAGTATACCATTAACCCCTTGGGTATGAGGGGTGTGTGTGTTGAATAAAATCATCTTGTGTTAGCCAAACAAAATTCAAAATTGTGTCCCACAGTGAAGGGGTTGAGCATTATTAAACATTACTATCAAGGAAAGAATATGACATACCTAATGCAAGAGGTAAAAGATATTTCCAGGTGGGATGATGAAGCAGATGTATGAGTCAATATGACCCCCTCCTGTTCTTCAAGTAATTGATTCAAAATAAACAATACAATTTTCAAAAGAAAAACTAGTACAGGTACTGTAGCAATGACTTGGATTAAAAATTAATTTTATAGGTGAAACCCATTTTACAGAACACAGTCTCAAGTTTAATACCTTACAAGTGAGATGAATTTGAGCTTTTGCGAATTTTTCAATATGCTTTCAATGTTTATTTACAGTATAATGAAAAATGAAAGTGGGCCCCATAGGCATGACTGCCCATTAGGAACAGTGTGGATACAGCAGACTGTATACTAAGCCTTCAGTTCACAAGAAGGCAGTATGGCTGGTACTGTACTGCACTCGACCACATTCACTCCCTAAGTTGTAAACTTAGGAACCCCTTTACAGATGGGTGAACTGGGAGTGCTTGGGAATCGAACCACCGACCCATGAAAAAGGAGATGAGCATTGTATCCACTCAACTGCCACATGCCATATTTCATAATGAATGCCATTAAAAAAGGAGAGGCATGTGAGATTCAATGTTGAAAATCTTAATACTATAGTAGCAAAACCAACAACTACAGTACTGTATATATTAATAAATCTGTTATTCATAGGATTCCATTTCTTCTTTAATGAAAACATCATTTACCTGTGTTTCACTTTTTATGCACTTTTCCTGATTGTTAGTCTTGTCATCATTTTTTATATATATTGTTTCTATGTGAAACTTTTGAGTATCCTCACTGGTGGTTGTGTTGTCACTCAGTAAGTCAAGACCCTCTGTTGAGGAATTACTTTGTTCACTCACACTAGCAGGTGGAATCCCTACTGTCTGGTGGAGTATATGTTTATCTTCACTGGCTATACCAGACTCTTCTCCGTTATGAGACAGTAAGTGACGCTTGAAATCAGACTTCAGAGAGAACTCCTTCCCACATGCCAAACATTTTGAGGATTTTTTGCTGGAGTGAAAACGCATATGTTTTTGAAGATGGCATTTACGAGAAAAATGCTTGCCACATTCTATACAATTAAAAGGCTTCTCTCCCGAGTGAACGAGCATGTGAGTTTTAAGATTACCAGCTCGTGTAAACACCTTCCCACATTCGCTGCAGGTAAGTCGTTCTTTACCAATGTGGTAATCCATATGTAATTTGAGAGTTGCACATGATTTAAACTCCTTTTCACAAATAACACATTTCTGAGATGATTGTATTCCAGGGGAGTTCATATGTTTTTTAAGTTCATCCAACCACATGAAGACATTCTTACATACTGAACACTGAAATGGCTTTTCTCCAGTATGAATTCTCATATGTGTTTCAAGGTCAGAATCACTTCGAAATTCTTTGTGACAAATTGAACAACTTTTAACTGTCAAATAGATTCTTGTTTTCTCCCTGATGTGCACATTCATGTGCTGTCTTAAGTACCAGTTTTTGGTAAAGGCTTTGCCACATTTTGGACATTTAAAATTTTTTCCTATATCATGAACTGACAGGTGCTGTTGAAGATCATTACTCCACATAAATGCTTCCTCACAATATTTACACTGGTAAGGTTTCTCTCCAGTGTGGATGCGCATATGCATTTGCAGAAGATTACTATGTGCATATCCTTTACCACATACTTTACATTTATGAGGTTTCAGTTCAATATGTTTCAGCGAATGTTTTTTAAGTTCACTTCTCAACATGAATGTCTCCTGGCACTTATCACACTTAATAGGTTTTTCTCCAGTATGGACACGCATATGAATGTTAAGAGCATAAACAAAAGAAAACTCTTTCCCACATTCTGAGCACTTCAAGCCCATAGTTTCTGGTAATGTATTTACTCGTATGGGTTTTGTATACAGTATAATGGATCACTTTATTTCTAAGCAAAAACTCAAATTTTTTTGTCTAACCATTTTGTAAATTTACTATCTTAATACTATCTTGAATGTCTTTTATTTCACTGTGAGTATTATTTTCACTTTCGAACAATTGTGGATAACCATTAAAGTCAACTGTTGGTATGGATGAATTACTGGTGACTGTCTAGATGTTGACCTATTACCAGTAACTTGATCAGTGTTGCTGTTGTAGTGATCCTTCCATCCTGTGGAAAAACAACAAATATGATGCTTATTTTCATAATACTGTACTTTAATATGCTAAAATAAACTGTATAGTACCAGTCAGGAAAATGAGATGTTACAGTTTACTGTACATATAGACAAAAAATATGATGTACAGTACAGTGTACAGTTTACATCTCATGTAAAACTGTACAAGCAAGCCTAAATATAAAGTGTGAAATCACAAATTGTCCAACTTACCGTAATTTTTTATAATACAAAAAAAGTACCATCATCAATAGTAATGAACATTAAATGTTGAATCAAACTGCTGTATCTCCAGCAGTAACGCATATCTCTCACCAATGTATCAAGGGTTCGAGCCCAGACACATGTGAGAAGAGTGTTACCCAGTATGACCCTACCAAACATCACAGGTTTCCCGGCCTCTGGTTTCCTCCTGTATTAACAATGGATAAACCAACCGCCGAAAAGTGGTGGGGAAAAAAAATTCCATTCTCTATTGTAAGTCACGAACTCCCTCATAAATATTATCTTACCAAAATGGCACCAAACTGTACAACAAATCATTAATAATTTTCTTTGATGGAAGAGAAGTTATCAGAGCAAAAGACAAGAGTATTTTGTTTCCTATTAAAATCACTCTTAAGTCCTAGCTGGATGAGATTGATTATGTTAGTGTCAGGGAGTTTAACCACCTCATGAAATAAGCTGGGATACCTAATTTTTATGTGGCCCCATTATTTTCCAATAAAAAAAAATATATATGAAATACATGTACAGTATAGTCTGGGTTTACGCAGATAAATTATACGCGGACGGCCATTTACGCCGCACCTGTCCAGAAGAGATAATTATTATTTACTCGGTAAATGCCATCATATACGCGGCAAGCGGCGGGGTAAGGTGCTGGCCGCTGACGTCAGACTCGTGCCGATGACGTCGAGACTGTGATTGGGCCACGTATCTTTACCACCCACGCACCCCCTCCGCCGCGCGCTGTGATTGGTCTATTTAACCTTGCCACCCCTGCCACCCGCGCTCTCGACCACCGCCGCGCCAGTCTCACTGTCCCCGCGTATATTCACTCATACCCAGGAACTGGTTTTGTTTTTTTCTTTCTACACAAAGGCTTCCGCCGGACCCCCACTACCCATGAGAAGCCCTGAACTACCTGGCCCAAGCCCAAGAAGGTGCGACACGCCTTAAGCTATGAAGTAAAGTACAAGATCCTCCTGGAGTTAGAAAAAGGCACATGAACATTACCAAGTCTGTAGGTGCCTCGCTGGTGAAATATTGCCACAATAAGGTGCTGTTGAAGACAGAGAGTTTAATGGTAAGCTACATTATTCGTCAATCAAGAAGGAACATGGCGGTCGACACTCGGGCACTGCAGGACTACACCCAAGAACTCTATGGAGCAGTAGCAAGAAAAATGGGGGTTGCAGAGCCCAAGCCCTCCAGTGCTTCCGTTGGGTGGCTGCGAGGTTTTAAACGACGCAACAAGATCACGAATATTGAGATAGTCGGAGAATGAGCAAGTGCCGACCGGGCTGCCGCCATGAATTTTCCCCCATTTTTACGGAAAATTATGGAGGAAGGACAGTACACCGACGACCAAGTGTTCAATATGGATGAATTAGGGTTGTACTGGAAGAAATTGCCATCCAAGACCTTCGTAGTCAAGTCTGCTAGCAAGTGTCGGGGGTGCAAAATGCAGAAGGAACGCATCACCGTACTGTTCACCACCAATGCCTCCGGCACTGCTAAGCTGAAGTTGTCTGTGATCTACAAAGCCTGCAAGCCGCATGCCTACAAGAATATGGACATGAGCAAGTTAAATGTCCACTGGCTAACCTCAGGTAAGGCATAGATGTTCTCTGGTCTGTCCCTCTCCTGGTTTGACAACTGTCTCGTTCCTGATATCAAGAAATTCTGCGTGGAAAATAATGGGCCATTCAACATTTTGTTGCTCTTCGACAATGCACCAGGACACTCACCCCTTTTGCTGGATTGTCACCCCAACATAAATGTGGTCTTCCTGCCCACTAACACTACGTCATTAATCCAGCCCATGGATCAAGAGTTGATTTGCAACGTGAAGGCTGCTTTCTCCGCCAAGAAGTTTTGGCTCCTGAACGACTTCACCAACACCAAGGATGAACTGCAAAACCTAGAGAGTGGCACAAATAGCGAGAGCGAGGACGAGGAACACGAACAAGATTTGGCGGACCATGAAGTGCTGGTCAAGCAGTTCTGGAAGCAATTTAACGTGAAGAAGGCTGTTGATTTCTTGGTGGAGGCATGGGGGCAGCTATCTGTGGCAACGATTCGGCACGCGTGCCTGCATGTGTTGGAGGGTATCCCAGGTGGGAGGCAGAGGCAAGCGGTGGCTGGCGAGGCTCAGTCTGTTGCTGTAGCATCGGAGAATGCAAGAAGGATTGCACAAAGTGCAGTAATGTGTACTGTATTTACTAATTAATGAATAAATACAGAATATAGCATCATGAATAACAAAATGAGTGAGAGACACGAGTCACGGTGACAAGCACTGAATGAGTAGCAACCCTTTATGGGGAGGAGGGGTGTCTGTATGGTCACTTTTACCCTCCAGTGGTCCCTCCCCCCTCTCCCTCCCTTCCTCACAGCATCTGCTCTAAACTTCTAATTGGGTTAAAGAGGAATTTGATAACATAATGATCCTGTATAAATTCTCTACGAGATGTTTTCAATATGATATCCCTAAACAAAATATTTTTACATGGTAAAACGTGACCAAATGTGCTGAGATTTCCCAGATAATTTTATACAACTCAATATTTGCCGACTTATTTTATAATAAATTCCAAGACCATATACGTGCCGAATTAAATAAAATTTTGAGATATCGAATGCCAAGTTATCAAGGGTTTACTTTAAGTTATTTCTGCCTAATATGCCAGAGAGTGGATATCCCAGCTAGGAAGTTAGGTAAGGTTAGGTAAGAATATTTCTTTAGGTCAGGTTCTATTAGGTTCTGTACACTGTTGTATCGGTTTTATTACTTACTATCTCCCAAAGATCATCTGTGAAAAAATTAACAAAATTGAACAACTCCTTCAGGTATTGAAATTGAAACATTTATTTAGCCAGAAAAATACAGTTACAGTGGTTAATGATAACAATATTGACATGGCTAAGCCAATTGGGAGATATGAGCTCTCTTAGTGGTGTTAGCTGTCTGCTCCACCATTATTAAGAATCCAGTAAATTTGCATAAATCACCTGGTATTGAATTTTGTGAATTTTATGGTTGCGATCTGTAGTTTAGATAATTCGAAGACACTTTTCTTCTTTGATGTTTCTCTGCCAAACGACCTGAACTAACCTCCTAACAGCAGCAGAGGACCCCCAACATATATAAGTCTTTTGTGAGGGAAACAACATAGAAGAAGTATCTTAGAATTATCTAAACTATTGATTGCAACCATAAAATTCTCAATCTTCTACACCGGGTGACTTATGCAATAACACAGTTTCCAGAATCCTTGGAGTTATCTTGTGTTACCCTACCAGATCTCACAGGTTTCCTCCAGGTACTACACCTTCCTTCTGTACTGTATTAGCACTGGACAGTAAATGGGAATTTCTGAAAAGAGCATTACCACCAGAAGTTGTTCAATTTCGTTCATTTTTCCACAAATGTTCTTATCATTATAGTAAGTATTTTGAGAGGGAGAAAACTTTTATTTTATTTATGATTATTTTCTTTTTCTCTATATATAATCATAAATCACCTATAGTGGGCAGGGTATGAAGGATGAGGGAAATTGCAGAGTAAAACAGTGAAAAAATTAACATATGACACTAAAATTATGTCTTTTAAGTGCTTTGTATGCGAAGAAATTAATTATTTACCGTAAATACTCCTCAGAAACATCTGTCGTTGTCTGTGCTGTTTGTTTAAAATCAATCCACTCGGTCCAAGCGTAATCTCACATCTACAAAAAACGAAAAATTACACCATACCACTTCAAAAAAATTGCTTTCATTGGTACCAGATATCAAAATACTGTAAGTACTTTTTGTTCGGTCCGACTAATTACCCAAATGTAGCCGCAATGAAGTCAAATAATGGTCCTACATGAATAAATCGGGTTACCAATCACTTCTCGACTAGTATTTGGTGTCACAAAGTCACAAAAAATTGGAAAACTTACTTTAATCTGAGTTAATACATCGCGTGCATGTAGCGAGGGAGCGAGGAATTACCCAAATGTACCCAAATGTAGTCGCAATGAAGTCAAATAATGGTCCTACATGAATAAATCGGGTTACCAATCACTTCTCGACTAGTATTTGGTGTCACAAAGTAAAAAAAAATTGGAAAACGTAATTTATTTTGAGTTAATAGATCGAGTGCATGTACCGAACCTAACCTAACCTCGACTAGTATTTGGTGTCACGAAGTCACAAAAAATTGGTAAACTAAATTTAATCTGAGTTAATAGATCGCGTGCATGTACCGACGGAGCGAGGAATTACCCAAATGTACCCAAATGTAGCCGCAATGAAGTCAAATGATGGTCGTACAAGCGTAATTCGGGCTGTGAATCACTTCTCGATTATTATTTGGTGTCAAAGTAAAAAAAAATTGGTAAACTTAATTTAATCTGAGTTGTGTTGTGTTAGGTTAGGTTAGGTTAGGTTAAATTAGGTTAGATTAGATTAGGTTAGGTTAGGTACATGCACTTGATTTATTAACTCAAATTAAATTAAGTTTACCAATTTTTTGTGACTTCGTGACACCAAATACTAGTCGAGGTTAGGTTAGGTTAGGTACATGCACTCGATCTATTAACTCAGATTAAATTAAGTTCACCAATTTTTTGTGACTTTGTGACACCAAATACTAGTCGAGAAGTGATTGGCAGTCTGATTTATTCATGTAGGACCATTATTTGACTTCATTCCGGCTATAATTGGCTACATTTGGGTAATTAGTCGGACCCCTTTTTGTTTAATATGACAGGGGGCTAGGAAGTTAGGGAAGGTTAGATATGTTTCTTTGGTTAGTTAAGTCAGGTTCTATTAGGTTCTAGAGTATTTTATGAAACCGCTACTGCCAGAAAACGTTTTTGGATTTTCATTATTTTTTACTTACTTGTTGTTCTGGTGATTGTAAGTACAACAGTTTATAAGAGCGACAACTTTATATTTTCACTTTTGGTGTTTTTTTTTTCCTTCATTTTCTTATACAGTACTGTACCTATGATCAAAAATTACCTGTAGTGGGCAGGGCATGAGGGATGGGGGAAATTGTGGGGTAAAACACTATTAAAAACTAATCACATGGCACTAAAATGATATCTCTATGTGGTTTGTACACGAAGAAATTAATTACTAACCATAAATACTCCTCCTAAAAACTGGGTGCTGTTGATGGGTGCTGTCGATGGGTGCTGTTTGTTTACACTGACTGCTCCACCAAACACTCTCACCTCCACAACAAACATCAAACTACACCATGACACTTAAACCAAAGACTATAATATATAAAATTGCTTCCTGTATGTATATTTATTTAAATCAATACTGTATAGGAATGAATAAAACCATTGAACTGTACAGTATTAATATATTAATACCTTACCAAAGAAGATCTTTCCAGATAGTAAAACAGAAGCTGCACCGTAATATGAAAGGGTTGTTCATTCTTCTGTGGATAATTATTGGGCCAAATTATTCCGCTCGTGTTAATTTGGTCGAAATCACATAACAGTTTTCATTAATAATCTCTGCTCACAGCTTGTTTCTCTTGGAACTCTTCACTGGTGATAGAAAACAATAGTAACTCTATATTCAGTTGTTCTGAATAACATTAAAATAAATCTGAGTCTGTTGACATTTGAGTTTACTGTAATTGAATATAGTTAATTAAAAAATGTTGCACACATTAATTATTAGAATAACTTGTAGGGGTATCGAGATATTAATGTTGTCTAGCACTCAGGATGGAAGGAAACTCTAATGTGGTTTTCTTGTATAATATAAGTTATATGATAGACAGTCTGGTGCTGGAGGTGCCGTGTGGTGAGGGGCCAGCGTGGAGCTTGCTGGAGGAGGTGTTGCTTGTTCAGGAAGATGGGCAGAATGAGAGTTGGTTGGTGAGGAAGCTCAGAGAAGGACAGCTGGTGGGTCGCCATGCTCGCTGGCGGGAGCGAGGGCCGCCAGGCAGGCGAGGAGAATCGAAGGCAGCCAGGCAGCGGCGGAGGAGGAGGTGTTGCTAGTTCAAGAAGAATGGTCAGAATGAATCTCAATGGAGAGACAGAGCTTATATACCCAGCAGCAGCCGCCATGAGTCATGTTGGGAAAACCCGAGAAGTCGCCGGTCACTAGTTCCGTTGCTAAGATACGGTAACATCTGGTTGGTTGCTAGGGAGGATGGTAGCAGCTTGGTGACGCCGCTACGCAGTTTGTAGGGGAGACGTCCACTACAAACTATATGCTCAGAAATGGAGTCTGTTCAGATAGTGTACTTAATGTAAATAATTAAAGTATTTCTACAACTTCAGCTTTTACTTTTACTTTTATCCTCTTCGCCACTGATTGGCTCATTAGCCGCTTGGGCGATCGGTCACGTCTCTTTTCATTTATATTCTTCACCAAAAGATCGGCTTGCTAGCCGCCCGGGCGATCGGTCACGTCTGTCACGCACTGTTGGCAAATACTGGGCATGCACCGGCTCCTGAATGTACCTGAACCCGCTCCAGTGTTGGTCAAGTCTTCTCTTGAAAGAGCTCACACTCGGTGCCGTCACAACACTCTCTGGTAGATTGTTCCAAGAGTTCACAACCCTCACTCCGAAAAAGTTTGCCCTCACAGTTTTCTGGACTTGCGGCTTCTTCAATCTTGAGCTGTGACCCCTTGTGGGGCGAGCGTCCGCCAGCTCCAAGTAAGGACACTCAACTGAGTAGTGCCCCCTGAGATGCTTATACACCTCAACTAGGTCCCCCCTTGCCCGTCTGTAGTATAAGCTAGGCAAGTTCAGGCTTTCCCTAATGTACTGTAGAAGCAATGTTGTGGCTACTTTTCAGTCTAATAGTAACAAACTGCTCAGGAAAAAGGTAAATTTTGTAGCTGAAAAGGATTAAGAATAAACTATGGACGTCAATGCTGTGAGAAAAGTTCTCTGCATTAAGCATTATGTGAATAGCAAGTGAAAAATTTGTAGCTTATCATTAGACGACTTCATCCATGACTTTGCTCTTGGGAACTACGAAAGAAATGTTTTAAATTTTATGTGATGTTCAAACAGAAGAGAAAATGCCAATTGCATTACTGCTCCCATTTACTAAGGGTGAAACTGTTTAATTTCTTGATATAATAGTAGGAGTAACCAGAGAACAGATTATCTCAACTGTTACTCAACTCCAGTGTGACGAATAACTTCCGTTACCAAAATTGTCACGTATACTTGGAGTACACTTGACTAACTGTAAACTGGTCCTGTAGACTGGTCCTAGACTGCATTCTCTTAAGCTACGCTTTGCCAACTATGTAACAATATCTTTGTAACAGTATAACACAGTAATGGGGAGAACATAATATCTCTACCTTTACCAACTGTGTATCTGTTGGGTGACCGTTACTTGTCTTTAAGGCAATCCCCAATTATCTTCAGAAGGTCTTATTTCTAAAGGTAATCCCCAAATATGCTGTCTCCATGCAGGATGGTTTTGTCAATGTACTGTATTGTCTATTGTAAATGGTGGTACATCAGTTGCCATAACTGCCATTGATCTGGACTGGGGAAATCGTCACAATGGAGTGAGCAGATTTAAGAATACTGTACAACCATCCTTAATGACAGGTCACCAGTAAACTGTGTTGTCTTTCTGGGAAACTTTATTACTTTCCATGATGCAGTCACCACATTTATGGTCATTGATGTCAACATTCTGAAGCAATTTATACCTGGCTTTAGCAGCACAAGTTGCTTCGTACAATGGTGGGTGTGGCTTTTGTTTAAAGTAATCAGTTGGCCTATTGTGCAGTTTTCACCGAGATGGAACTTTTAATTTATTTTTTGTGTGTATGATGTGGGACAGATAACTGACTTCCCCTTTTTAATACATCTAGAGTTTCTAAAGATAATATGCCAGTCCCAAATAAGGATGAAAAGTGTAGTTGTGGAACTAGTTCAGTATTGTTGGTGAAATTATCATTGGCACAAGTTATATACTATACTGTAGTCACTTCAGCACAGTGAGACAAACCACTACTGCACCCCTGCTGTTGCCCCTGGAGAGGGTTTTGTTTTAGGGAAATAAAATATGAATAAAAGTTTAAAGTTGACTTATTAATGAGTTGAAGAGAACAGAAGTGTTGCAGACCCATTATTTACCTTACAAGGGGTCATAATCATATCACCTCTCGGTTTATATTCATGGATTGTTTTGGTGTAGCTACACATGACTTCTGTGGGGGCTTCATTTTTCTGTCGATGGTACAAATACTGTAATAAGAAACAGAATGCAGATAATGATAGGTGATCAGCTATGAGTGGGCAGCAAGTATGATTGGTCAGGTGAGGATGTAAGAATAACAAGTTCACAGAAGAACTCTGTCAGTCCTACAGCAGGTTCACCTTGTTCCTTACATAAATCTGACAGTCCTTTAAAGTGTTAAGCACTACTGAAATCCCCAATAAACTTGATGTTTACTTCATTTATTCATAAAGACATGATTTTAGTCATTCAATGAAGAACAGAACAAGACACCAATTGCAACAGAACAAATTAAAAAATTAGTCATAAACTTCTATTTCTTCTTTGAATTTTTTTTAAATTACTGTAGTCATAAACTTCTATTTCTTCTTCGACAAAATTAATAAATTACGTATTCATAAACTTCTATTTCTTCTTTGACAAAATTAATAAATTAGTCATAAACTTCTATTTCTTCTTTGACAAAAACATCATCCGTTTGTATTTCTGTATTTATGTAATTTTCCTGAGAGCTTTTCATATCTTCAGTTTTTATATAAACTGTTTCTATATGAAACTTCCTACTTCCTTCAATGTCTGTTGCAGTGTTACTCGGAGAGCCAAAACTTGAGGAACTACTTTGTTCACAAAGACCAACAAGTGGATTCTCTGCTGTGTGCTGCAGTATATCTCTAGTGTCGCTGGTTATATCACAATCGTTTTTATTATCTTTTGATTTCAATGAAGATTCCTTTCCAAAATGGAAATACATATGTATTGTAAGATTTGCTGATGATTTGAATTCCTTTTTACAAATAACACATATTTGAGATGATTTTTTACTGCTATGAGAGCTCTTGTGCTTTTTAAGTTCATCTGACCACATAAAAACTTTTTTACATGTTGAACACTTGAAAGGTTTTTCTCCAGTATGAGTGCGCATGTGCATTTCAAGGTTAGAATCACTTCGAAATTCTTTGTTGCACACTGAACAACTTTTAAGGTTTGGTTCCCCTGTACAATTAACATTCTTTGTGTGTGCCTCAAGAGTATAAATGTTGGAAAATGATTTCTTACATTTCATGCAGGGTTTTGTTTTCTCTCTTGTGTGCACATTCATATGCCGCCTTAGATACCAACTTCGAGTAAAGCCTTTGCCACATACTGGACATTTATTTTCACCGTTTTTACCATGAAGAAACAGGTGCCGTTGAAGATTATAATTCTTTACAAATGATTTATCACAATGCTTACATTGATAAGGTTTCTCTCCTGTGTGGATACACATATGCATTTGCAAAAGTTTATTGTGTGAAAATGCCTTCCCACACACTGTACATTTGTGAGGCTTTTCAAGATGCTTTGCAGAATGTTTTTTCAGTTCACTTCTCAACACAAATGTCTCTTCACATTTATCACACTTACCGGTAATTGGTTTCTCCCCAGTGTGGACACGCATATGAAGGATAAGTGCATACACAAATGAAAACTCTTTGCCACACTCTGAACACTTAAAGGCCATGGTTTTTGGTCATCTGTGTAGAATTTGTTCACAACACTCCTCTTACTACTGTACAGGTTTTGTACACACTAAATCAGATCACTCATTTCTAAACATGTTCTACAAAAATTTCTTCTCAAAACATTCTGTAAGATTAGAGACACTACCTTGAGTCCCTTAGTCTGTGCCATCACAGGTTTTATTCTTCCAGAAAATTACAGATTACCACTAATGCCAACTGCTGGTACCTGTACCATACATTACTGTGCAGGTACTGGAAAATTACTGTTGATGGTCTGGATCAGCTATCTTGACCACTGCTGTGGCTGTGTTGTTGGTGCAGGAATCCTTCCACCCTGTGAATAAAATGATACACTGCTTATTTTTATATTAAAAACATTAAAATGTCAGTCAGGAAAATAAGATGTTAAAAAATAAGAGGTACAAACAGTACTTATGGTAATTGCAACAAGCAAATATTTTATGTTTTTTAATTATTATATTTGTTAACTTTTGCGTCTTTAACCCCTACGTGGTTTGGGGCGTACACTAACGTCCGCTAATGTAAGGGACAACAAGGTTTAGGACGTACAGTATATCAACGTCCTTGAAACATTTAAAACTCCCACTAGAGTCTATGTCTAGAGCTATAAATAAACATTTTGAGTTGTTTGGCATACACCCCTGCAGGCAATCACGTCATTAGGCTTCGTGTTTCTTGGCAACACGCCAGTACCTTCGCTTGTCCCACTCTGTAAGGATGTCGTCACGTCGCGCTATCAGTGACACTGAAATAAACTCTGTTCTCTTTGATGAGGATGCTCCTTGTGGTGCTAAGGAGCCATAAGGAAAGGACAGTGATTTGAGTGATTCTGTTGATATCAATGACCCTGATTACCCACATGATGACAAGGAGATCTAAAGGTTGGGGATGGTTAAAACAGTCGGCTGTGTATTAGTCGAAACTGTAATAATATCAGTGATTCATTTTAGAAGATACTAAATGTTCCATAATATTTCCTTGAGATAAATGTACAGTATATATCAGGTGCCTTCAAGAGAGCTCTCAACTGGCTAAGCCATGTCAATATAGTTATCATTATCTACTCTGCATCTGTATTTTTCTAGCTAAATAAACTGTTTCAATTCAATTAGAAAGTTGGTATGAAAAACAAGCAATAAAAGCATTGTTAGAAGACCTCACCAACCAAACCTACCTAGCTTCCTAGCCAGGAGACTTGGAAGTGTAATTTTACGTTTTTGTGGATGTGAGAGCAGCCGCCCGCACTAAACGGCTCATAAGCATACACTGAGCATCGGCGTCGATCTGGCCCGGATAGCAGATTGTTTTGAAATACATCAATATGATTGGCTGTTTACATCCTGGGATGAGACGTCAGCGCCGCATTACCACCGAGAAGTCAAAGTAGTGCCGGTAATTATATAGGACTAACCAATGAGTGATTTTTTTTTTTTTTAATTATGAAAACCCCAGATTTTCACTGTTATATTGTAGTGGACACTGTTGTAGTTTGTGGAAATGTTAAAAATTGGATATTTTAAAAATAAACGCTACTTAACATTTGTGGGTATGAAAAATATACCTAACCAACCTAACCAAGCAAACTTACGGACCCCCCGGTATATTAAACAGAAAGAACTTACTATGATATGATGAAATTTGAGGCATTTTCTAGACATGAGATGATACGGCTGCATTGACGCTATGGACCCAGAGTGGCGGAGTGATTTACTGTGTTGGTGGGTTCCACAATAAATGATTATCATATCAGAACTCACAAATTAAAATAATGTAAGAAAATAAACATTCTCTAAGTAAAGGAAGAATGCCGTGATCTTTAAACAAATTTAAGGGGTCTCATTGTCTTTATCCCTAAATTCACAAATTACGTCCATGTAAGATCAGCGACAACCTTCACACGTCATGCTGAAAAACAAATTGCCCCGGGAGCAGGAAAAGCCCCTTCGCAGATTGCGACCTCATTACCGCCCGCAAGATAAACTAGTGTGCGCCTCGGTGCCTAATAATCTATGAAACTAACAATTTCCTCAATAAATGATTATCATATCAGAACTCAATGATGAAAATATTGTAAGAAAATAAACAGTTATAAAAATAACTCGCTCATGGGTTAGTGTTATATATGGTATTTTTGTATTACTGCACACAACTTTCCTACCCCAAATCTAATATCACATTCGAATAAGACGTCTAATTTTAAGATAATTTTCTTCCATTACATTACCGTCACAAAGGTATAATAACGGAGATAGCGCATGCCATATATTTCTCTATTTTCTTCCATTAATCTTCCGCTACTATCGCCGACTTGACCTCCCACTCAGTGTGTTTTCCTTCATAAATCGTCATGAGCATGTGTTCCCGTATACGTCACACGGCCAATCAAAAGCTTTTTTTTTTCCACCATATTAAAATGAATTGTGGTATAATTTGCGGTATTTTTTCCCCAATCAGATTCGATTGCGATTTTGGGTCTCTCATATTTCAAAATTCAAATTCATTTCCGACCAACAAAGTCTGCAATGGGTGTCATTTCAATTATATGGAGTTGATTGCGCGTTTTAGGGAAAAATCGAACAAGCTATAGTATTTTTTAGATCTCAAGGTGTTCTCCCGACATCAGTAATATGTCCTAAGTGTAAGAACGAGAGTAAGTATCAGACTAACATAGTTGGCACTGTGGTAACTCATTCCTTATTCCCAAAACAAAGAAGAGACGTTGGTGTTCATACACTGTCAGTGATTACAAAGAAACCAGAACCAGGCCAATAGGTAAGAAATGAGTGATTCCATCATATGGTGAGAGTTAGGTTAGATTAGGTCAGGTCAGGTTAGGTCAGGTCAGGTTAGGTAAGGAATTTTTTAGCTAAGAGAAAACAGAAGGTTGTAGTAAATGGAGAAGCATCTGACTGGAGAGAGGTCACTAGTGGGGTCCCTCAGGGTTCTGTCCTCGGCCCCCTGCTGTTTGTCCTTTTTATCAATGACCAGCCTGAGGCAATTAAACACAGCAGTGAGGTATATCTATATGCGGATGACACAAAGATTTTTATGAAAATAGAACGAGATGAGGATTGTGACATGCTGCAGGAGGACCTGGATGGGATCAGGGGTTGGACTGAGAAGTGGATGCTGAACTTTCACCCAGAAAAAACTAAATACATGAGGATAGGAAGAACAAAAGTTGCTGACCAGGGATATCATATGTAAACCACGATCAAGAAGACCACTGTAGAGAAGGATATAGGGGTAGTCATCGATGATAAGCTGACGTTCTCTGACCATCTAGCTGAGAAAATCAACATGGCTAATAAAATAGTGGGCATTATTAGAAGAACTTTTGTTCATCTGGAAGCACCTATATTCAAGGTTCTGTAAACTGCTCTGGTTAGGCCACACCTTGAGTATGCTAATCAAATTTGGTGCCCATATCTCATTAAGGATATTAAAGCAGTAGAGAATGTACAGAGGAGGGCTACCAAACTAGTACCACAGATCAAGGATTTATCTTATGATGAAACACAAAAATTACAGTTACCGACACTGGCGTACAGAAGATCTCGTGGGGACCAAGTGGAAACATACAAGATAGTGTGTGGCATATATGACCAGGCATGTACAGCAGGAATGTTCCAGATGACACTACCCGGGCGAACACAAAGAAGATCTACAAAACAAGAGCGAGGCTAAATCTCAGAAGACATTCGTTCCCGAGTAGGGTTGTCAACAACTGGAATGGGTTACCTGAGTGGGTAGTGAATGTGGAGACGGTGGAAAAGTTTGAAGCAAAATTAGATGAATACTGGAAAAATCAAGAACAAGTATATAATTATAGGGCACAAATATCCGCCACACACAGCCACCGTCTGAGTAGAGAAGAGGCTATTGAGCTGAGTCACAGGCATGAGCCTCTTCCAGAAGATCATCTGTGAGTATATGGCGAAATTTGAGGCATTTCTGGACGTGAAATGATACAGCTCCATCGGCACTATGCAGCCTGGCGGGTTAGTCCTATATATTAACCATAATGCATCGGCAGGTCAGTCGTCAATATTAACTCATTTTTCTTTGCAACCAATAGTTCAGTCAATTCTATGATACTTATATGTTTCCCTAACCTCCTAACCGGGGGGGGACTCCGCCACCTGAACCTCCTGGCTTATACGTCATTTGCAAGGGTAACGTCATAGAAGTGTCATAGAATTGTCTAAACTATTGATTGCAAAGATAAAATTCTCGAGATTCGGTGGGTGGCAACTTACGTAATAATACGCAACGAAATCTACCACCTTAAACTGTGGAATCAAAAACAGTACTGGGCTTCAAAACAGTCCATGACAATATCAATTACACTGGAGGGATACTACTATGCCTCCTTCCCTCGGCATAGTCACCTCTAGTGGGTGGATAATAGGTAAATATTGGTAGGTAACCCTTGAACAACTTACACAAAGGTTTACTCCCGTTCACTGCTCTAGCGTCAGGTGTCTACCGTCCTGCGAAAAACAGTAATAATGTGACTTAAATCATGAAGGAATATCCAAGGTTGTCCTCCAACAAATAAAACTCAACTCACTGCGTTGTTATCTTGTATTTTTGAGCCTATCATCTTTCCGTTTAAATACGTTATTTGTGGTAATTAGTAATGTTTGTTTTTTTTATTCATATATTTATAAATTGTGTAGTAATTGGAAAATTTACCAGATAGGATCTAAACTTTCATCGCTTATAACATTATTACCAGAATATGCAACAGTTTAGTTAATTATCCCTTAACTTTTAAGCGTGATATATAGGTTTGTGATAATCTTATTGTTTATAATCACAACATTAACTCATTTAAATATGTTTATTTATAATACAATTATATCTTCCAATTCCCCCAAAATATTACAGCAATTATCTAAGTCAGTCAAATGCTATTGTGGCTTATTATGAAGACATCATTGGAAAGACACTACTGCCGTGTAAATTGATGTAGGTCCATAAGAGTCCCGGCCCTGACATGGTGCATCCTGGAGTGCTAAGAGAGTTGAGCAACGAGCTTGCCGAGCCCCTGAAGATCCTGTTTTGTAAATGCCTGGATGAACAAATGGTCCCCAGCGAATGTAAAGTGGCTTATACGAGTCCTATCTTCAAGAAGGGCGATCGTCACTCCACGAACAACTATAAACCAGTGAGCCTGACCAGCATAATATGTAAAGTGCTTGAGAGTATTATCAGAGATGCCGCGATGGAACATTTACTAAGAATCAACCTTGTAAAGGATTGCCAACACGGTTTTATGCCGGGGCGCTCCTGCTGAACACAATTGCTCAAGGTATTGGATATTTGAACCCATATTCTGGAACGGGGTGGTAATATCGACAATATTTACCTAGATTTTGCCAAGGCTTTCGACAGTGTACCCCACGAAAGGCTGAAAATCAAACTGGAAGAGTATTGAATTCGGGGAAATGTCCTAGCGTGGATAGAAGACTTTCTACATGACCGCAAGCAGTGTGTGGTGATTAATGGCACGAAATCATCATCCGTACCTGTCACAAGCAGGGTACCACAGGGCAGTGTATTGGGCCCGCTGTTGTTTGTTTCATAAATGACATGCCTGACGTTGTACACTCCTCCATACAAATGTTTGCCGATGTCGCCAAGTTATTTCGGGAAATGAAGAACCAAGTGGACTGTGAAGAGCTGCAGAAGGACTTCTGTGGGCTCCAAGAATGGTCGAAGAAGTGGCTGCTGAGATTCAATGTCTCGAAGTGCAAGAGGATGCACCTGGGGCGTACCAACGGTAAGGAGGCGTATCATATGTCCCAACGGGATGAGGAAAATGCACTATTTGAGACTGAATGTGAGAAGGACCTAGATGTGTATGCTGAAAATGAGCTGAAGTTCTCGGGCCATTGCGAGAAGAAGGTAAATAAGGAAAATAAATTATTGGGTCTTATTAGAAGGTCGTTCAGATATCTAGATGGTCCGTCCCTCGTAACGACCTTCAAGAGTGAGGTGCTTCCACATCTGGAGTACTGTCACCCCGTCTGGTCCCCGAGATATGCTAGGGACTGTCAGTTGGTTGAAAATGTCCAAAGGGGGGCCACCAGACTGGTGCCTGCCCTTCGGCACCTCAGCTACCCTGAGAGATTGGAGCGCCTGAACTTGCCTAGCTCATACTACAGACGAGCAAGGGGTGACCTAATTGAGGTGTATAAGCATCTCAAGGGGCACTACTCAGTCCAGTGTCCTTACTTGGAGCTGGCGGACGCTCGCCCCACAAGGGGTCACAGCTCAAGATTGAAGAAGCAGCAAGTCCAGAAAACTACGAGGGCAAACTTTTTCGGAGTGAGAGTTGTGAACTCTTGGAACAATCTACCAAAAAGTGTTGTGATGGCACCGTGTGTGAGATCTTTCAAGGCAAGACTTGACCAACACTGGAGCGGGTTCAGGTACATTCAGGAGCCGGTGCATGCCCAGTACTTGCCAACAGTGCGTGACAGAGACGTGACCGATCGTCCAAGCGGCTAACGAGCCGACCAGTGAAGAGGATAAAAGTAAAACAATCCATAGTGATAACAGTGACTGCGGTGGTCAACCAAGTCATATTGGTGCCACAAAGAAAGTTTTTCTTTTGTGTACGTGTTTTTTCTGGTACTGAAATTGTGCTTACAATCCACCGTTCATATGGAGATACAGTGTACATACCTGCTCTACTCCCCACCCAGGAGGCAAGCGCCATGTAAACAATGTCATCTCTGACCACATCCCACAAAATACAATGTAATTAGTAAATGCTGCAGCTACTGAGAATGGGGGAGGCCGGAGTCACTACCAAGATCAGAGACGTTACCGAGAATAAATTCCGGCTTGAAAGCCATGTACACTAATACTGACACGTTCCTTGATAAAACAGCAGAGATTAAAGTATTAGGTGGCCCTGTAGTAATTTTTTGGACCTTTCTGAAATTGGAATGTATATGTTAGATGAGCTTCCTTATTAGATATTCCTTGGTTCTGAACGTACTATCGTTTTCGTGAAACGCGCTTTACATCAACCAAAATACATAATAATATATCAATATATCAACTTCCCAATTTATTGATGATAAATTATCGGATATCTCTGAAAAGGCTCATTCAAGGAAACACATAAAATTATTTAAATGAAAATATATATCAGAAGGTGCACATAAAGATGGCAAACCATTGAAATGTCTATGTTAGCTATAATGTAATAAATTATACTTCTTTCTCATATAAATAAAACTTTTAAAAATGTATTTTAATAATTTTTTTAATGTATTAAGTTATGGAATTGCAAAGAAACAACCAAATAGGTATTATATGTGGAAGAAGAGTGTGTGGAGGTGTTGGTAGGTCTGGTGTGACGTGTGTTGTGTAGACGGATGTGACGTCAGGAAACATCTGAACGTGGACGACACAACACAGACTGGTGGAACACTCTAGTGGAGCTCGCTGTATAGACAACTCCTTGCACGGATATCCCTGCCCAACATACAGGTATGAATATTTCTGAACATTGATGATGTTCTTGATAGGATATAAGTGTTAATGTAGTTATGAAGTTTTTCACCTTGTGGTGCATATATTAAATTTTCTGAAAAATAAGTCATCCAGGTTAGTTGTTTCACACCCTATACTGCTATGTTTATCATGTCTGTTCTTTGAAAATGACCTTTATATTATTTAGAGATTAATTTAACATGGCTGGATATTCTTGACGTGAATTTTTTATACATGAATGGTGCTAAGCTTAGGTGAATTTTCATCACAATATCATGTCTGAAGCACCACCGTAATGTAGTTGAGTTAACCCAGAGAGTTTTTCTCATATAATAGCAAGTGTGAAGGGGACCATCTATTATTATTATTTTACAGTTGACCATGAAGTTTTTCTTGGACATATATTATGGTGACCAGGAAAAGGTCATTTTGGGTGCAGACCACCATTATCATAAGGTTTTGGGAGTGTTAAACGACAAATGTCTCCTAAACATTAAAGAATTCATTGGTAATTTATAAGAACTGCACTACCATCAGAAGGAGTTCTTAGAACTTGTTAATTTTTTTCCATGTTCTTGGAAAGTATGTTAAGAGGCGACTATTTTTTTTAATTATGGGCTGGGCATGTAAGATGAGGGAAATTGCTGGATAAATCCTGATGAAAAACTGATCATATGACAAAAAAGATGGTAAGGTTAGGCGAGTTTCTTTGGTTAGGTTGGTAAGGTTTTCTAACAATGCTTTTGCTACTAAGGTTAAGTTAAGTTTGATTTAATTTAGAAATAACCAATTACGTTAGGTAATTTTTTTGTCATTTGCGAGGGAAACGTCCGAGAAGAAAAGTGTCTTTGAATCGTCTAAACTATTGATTGCAAAGATAAAATACCTAAGATTCCATGGTTGTGTGTGAATATTTGGTGGGTTTATATTGAACAGTCATTTATACATGTATGATACTATTTTATTTCTATTATTGTAGTGGCAGAAGGGATTTAGGCTTTAATATCTTAATGCCATTTCTAGTTGGTTAGTTTTATTTTAGAAATATATCAAAATGTACACTATTAAGACAAGACAAATGTGTTGGAGGGGATAGCCTATTTGATTGAATGCCTAATTTATATTGTAGTGCAGGTGCGTCTCTACTTATGAACAAGTTACATTCCTGTGACTTTTTCTCAAGTCCTACTTACTCTTGTAGGTGCTGAGTACATTGCAAATACTGTACAGTATACCGGTATATAAAAATAAAAAAACTTTTGGAATATTATCACATGTAATGGCTCACATTGTAAGCTTAAAGGCTGATGCAAACTCACCACTCCTGTTCTTCCTTTTCCAGCATTCATAAACCATACCACCTACCTTCCTTATGTCATTTAACTAGTGTTGTGCTACTTCAAGCAATATTTCTATACTATGTAGATGAAAGAGAGTAGCAAAACCATGAAAGAAAATGCTATGTCCTTACTTTTGCTCTTGTTGACAGCACCATGGATCAGGTTATGATGCTAGTTGAGCCTGCACGGCAGTTCAGCAAGGACTCGATGAGACTGGTTAAGCGCTGCACCAAACCTGACCGCAAGGAATTCCAAAAGATTTCCATGGCTACAGCAATTGGATTTGCCATTATGGGCTTCATTGGCTTCTTTGTGAAGCTTATCCATATTCCTATCAACAACATCATTGTGTAAGTAATTTTTGAGTGTACGGTACTGTATCTTTCCACTTGCTCACTTATTAAATGTATTAAAGGTAATGTAAATACATACTGTACAGTATTGAGTTTCTTTTTATTTCTTTTCGTGTATAATATACTTGGTCAGATCTTCATATTCTAAGTGTACTTTTCACTTTACAAGTATTGTATTTACCATAAAATATTTACATTTTCTTTTCAGAGGCTCGTAATTGATGACAACGGCACCATGGATGTAGACACAAGTTATTCATAACCATGTGATGATTAATTTTAATGTATTTACCATGTAAGGAAGATTATCTATTAAATGTTTCATATCCTATACAGTTTCCTATGCCCTAGATAAGATTCAAGACTATGAATAAGTTGCAGTATCTCATTAATTTTGAGCAAAAGTGATTTAACAGCTTGACATGGATATCATGCGAGTCATAACTGCAAATTTTGGGGGGCAAATACATTGAGTAGTGCCTTTGCATCTTTACACTTAAAAAATAATTTGTATATTCAGTATTGTACTGAAAAACTATAATTACACTGAAATGGGAAAAAAATAATAAGTTAATCTTGTTTGAATGGAAACTGCTGGATGCCTCGGACACCACACAGTTCAAGTGACCACCAATACAATACAGGGGATCCTCGTTATCCACAGATAATTAGGACAGGAAAAGTGCCTTTGACAACGGACCCCCTTAAAGTGGCGAATTAATCCCGTAAGAAGTAATGGAAATTGATTAAATCAGGACAATGACATTGTACACGACACTAGAAAAAAAGTAATATCTTTGAACAATTATTTACCTTAAAAACATGTTCAACATTTGATAACATTATTTTAAGAAATTATTTAACTTTAGAAGTTACTTAACGTCCTTAAAGTTCATTGGGGTCGGTGTGTTGAGACAACATAAGTTGTACCAGCTGGTGCACATTCACTTCAGTGTTTCATTGAGACAAAACACAAATTGTTTTAAAAATAAATAATAACCTAATAAAATATTTGTATTTACTTGACCTCAAACGCAGAGATGTTTGGTCTGATTGGATTGATGGAGGTGGGTGTTGGGAGAGGAGGATGGAAAAGAAACAAGACTAGGTGGATTGTCCACTCCCACTTTTTGCCAAATCACTACTAATTTTACATTTACACTATAGCTAGGTGCTTCCTTTTGAGTGCTGCACCACCATGTCTGGGTTGGAACCTCATGGCTACAAAAATAAAATAATTCACCACAACATGCATGAAAAGACACAACAAAGGCAGGAGTAAACACAACACTGCACTGGTCTGGACAAAACAAAGCGGGAGAGTGGTGATGTGTGTGCATGCATGCATGCATGGTGCCAGGAAAAGAGTGAAATTTCAAACACTTCAGCTATAAATCCGTAGGTTTTATCGGGAGTGTGAGTGGAATTCACTTAAATGCCGGGACTTTTTACGTGGATGGTCACATAAAGTTGACCACTTAACTGCCAAACTGAGGATAGTGAATATTCTTAAAACGAGTTTATCAATCATTCTAGTGAATGTGATGTAATACCTCTACCAATGTCTGTGAATGAAATAGTATGGTTGTGAAATTGTCACAGAATTGGTTTAATGGCAAAATATGATATTGTAATTTAATTGATGGTACCTGTATTAGAAACGGTACGATCAATAGGACAGTAACAGATTGTGTATTGTACAGTACAATGACGAAGTGTATTTTAAATCTAGTGGACTTGCTAGCACATTTGTCTTAAATATTGTCTAGTTATATTAACCAAATATGAAGTGTTTCAGTCAGTGAAACTGGTTTACTGCATAATGCAGTAGTAAATTATCTTTGAGTAACTGTAGTGTCATGTAATATACAAATATGAAAAAATTCTCAAAGAAAAACACATGGTCTTGAAGGTTGCCATCTTGCCTTAACCAGTGTGTGCGCTGTTTTATCGAATCCTATTTGCTATTCCTGGCTTTGAGTCTGTTCACTCGAACCTTGCAACGGAGGCCTAAGATCAGTTTGTAGCAAGGCAGCTGGTGGATGGACATGGAAAGTCACTATAATTCTTTAGTATTTAATCTACTGCACTTATTTTCTGATGTTTTAATGGATAACAACAGGAAGTAAGATGCTGTAACTACACTAACCATAAGGAACCTCTGAAATTCTATTCCATTGTATACATTAACCTTCATTGTTTAGTAACCCCTCAAAAGTCTGGACAATTTTGGGGAAAGGGAATCTGGAGTTTTACCAAGTTTTTTTGTGGGGTTCTTGGGGGCACTAAGCAGCCACTCATTAACCCGGACACCCCACCACCACCCACAACACAGGAATTAACAGTGCAACACATCCAGAGTGAGGGAGACATCTGCTGTTGTGATGTATTGCTAATTTAGTGTTGTGTTTTAATATTTTGTGTACTGTGGATCTTATTATACGACAAATTTGTTTGGAGTTAACTGAAGTACAACTGCATGGAGGGGAGTTAAAGATCAGCTGTTGAGGAGCCTTTGGCAACATTCCTTTCCACTCCATCTAATCACCCACACCTTTCTCAGTCCATATTTGAAAACGTAATGTTGAATGGATATAACATTGCTCATTTACAGTATATTGTAGTGTACGGTACTTAAACACAATTTTGTGGGTAGATATCAGCTGTTCACTAGTGACTGTCTGTGCTGCAGGCATGGTCTTGCCAAAGAAACTGATAAACGCATCACCTCACCACTTGCCACAATCTCCTCATCACTGCCTAAATAATAAGTGCAAACATGTATTAGCTAGAGCAGAACTGTGATATCCACTGCCTCCCTCCTACTCACTGCATCACACGCTCGTTCATCAAACGACTGTCGCTCATGATACAACATTGTTTATTTGTTATTCGCTCATAAGTAAAGATACATTACTGTAATAAAGTTTATTAATGCATGTACCTTTCACATATGTCATAAAGAATATATCTCCATATATGCAATGGCATGACAGTACATTAAAAAATGAATTATTTTCTATAAAATAAGTTACCTTATTTATTATTATATATACAGTGGTCCCTCAGTTAAGGAACACAATTCGTTCCACGGAGTTGTTCATTAACTGAATCCATTGTTTCAATGGGATATTTGGTAATTGGTTCCAGCTCTCAGAAAAGTATATACAAAGTAAAAAAAAAAAATGTAGTAAAGTAAACTTACTTTGAGGTGTGTATGTAGAAGGTTCCTGGTTGATGATGATGGGAATTATTAGTGGAGGACAAGTCACCTTTCAGGGGACCCATGCTTGATGTCATCATTTCACCAATAAAATTTGAAGTTCACTAGGTGTAATTCAAGATTATTTTATTTAAACCAACACTGCACTATATATTATCAGTGTTAACTAAATTTCAGAATGACCAATAATTTCAATGTAAAAGTGCAAAAATATTCAAGACATCAACAAAATAGATGTTCACTCCACTGTCAACAAAGTCAAACTGATGCCCGGTGGCTGAGTCAAGCAGCTGATGAGCTCATAAAAAACTAGTTCCCTGTACTGCATATATTAACAATATGTTAACTAAATTTTAAAATTACTAATAATTTTAATATAAAAAAATGCAAAAATATTAAAGAGCACAACTTTCTTGATATTTACTCCACTGGAAACGAATGTAAACAGAACAGATGACTGAATTGGCAGACTAGCTGATCAACTGATGCTTACAACAAAACGTGTTGTTCGTAAGGATTTCGTGAATCGAAGTTTTGTTCGTTAACCGAATTGAAGATACTTCTGGGAGGTAATTCGTTAATCGAGCCATTCGTTAACCGAGGGACCACTGTACTGTATCGTCTTTAATGGGGATACCACACAGTGGTCTAATCAGTACACAGGACAACTCAGTTAGTCCTACAGCAGGTTCACCTTGTTCCTCTTACATAAATCTGGCAGTCTTTGTAAAAGAGTTAAGCATTACTGAAATCCCCCAAAACTTCATGATCATTTCATTCATACACAGAGATATAATTTAAGACATTCAATAATGAGTGGAACAAGACACCAATATTAAAAAAGAAAGCGCAACAGAACAAATCAATAAATGTCATAATCTTCCATTTCTTCTTTGACAAAAACATCATCTATTTGTATTTCTTTCTTTATGTAATTTTCCTGACAGCTGTTCATATCCTCAGATTTTATATAAACTGTTTCTATATGAAACTTTCTACTTTTCTCAATGTCTGCTGTATTGTTACCCTGACAGTCAAAACTTGCTGAGGATTTACTTTGTTCATTAAGACCCACATGTGGATTCTCTACTGTGTGCTGTAGTATAACTTTAGTGTCACTGGTTATCTCACAATCTTTTTTATTATGGGAATACATATGTACTGCAAGACTTGCTGATGACTTGAACTCCATTTTACAGATAACACATATCTGAGCAGATTTTCTACTGCTATGAGTGCGCATGTGTTTTTTAAGTTCATCTGACCACATGAAAACCTTTTTACATGTTGAACACTTGAAAGGTTTTTCTCCAGTGTGAGTGCGCATGTGCATTTCAAGGTTTGAATCACTTCGAAATTCTTTGTTGCACAGTGAACAACTTTTAAGGTTTGGTTCCCATGTACAATTAACATTCCTTGTATGTGCCTCAAGAGTATAAATATTGGAAAATGATTTATTACATTTCATGCAGGTTTTAGTCTTTTCCCTTGTGTGCACATTCATATGCTTTTTTAAATACCAACTTCTTTTGAAAGTTTTGTCACATACTGAACATTTATATTCTGATTTCCTCCCATGAAGAAACAGATGCCTCTTAAGGTTATAACTACTCACAAATGATTTATAACACTGCTTACATTGATAAAGTTTCTCTCCAGTGTCAGTACATATGTGCATTTGCAAAAGTTTCCTGTGTGAAAATTCCTCCCCACATACTGTGCATTCATGAGACTTCTTTTCAATATGCTTTGCAGAATGTTTTTTAAGTTCACTTCTCCACATAAATGTCTCTTCACACTTATCACACTTAATGGGTTTCTCCCCAGTATGGACACGCATATGAACATTAAGTGCATATACAAAAGAAAACTCTTTGCCACACTCTGAACACTTGAAAGCCATGGTTTCTGTTTTTTTTTGAGTAGAATTTGTTCACAACACTCTTAGAACAGGTTTTGTACACAGTATAAAATATCACTCATTTTAAACATGTTCTACAAAAATTTCTTGTCTAAACATTCAATAAAATTAAAGACACTACCATGAGTCCCTTAGTCTGTGTCATCACAGGTTTTAGTCTTCCAGAAAATTACAGATAACCACTAATGCCAACTGCTGGTACCATACTATACTTTACAAGTAGTACTGGTAAATTACTGCCGACTGTCCGGATCAGCCAACTTGATCACTGTTGAGGCTATGTTGTTGGTCCTGGAAGCCATTCATCCTCTGAAAAAAAATGATAATGTTTATTATAATACATGTATTGAAAACATTGGTGTGTCAATCATAAAAATAAGATGTCAAAGAAATAAGAGGTAAAAAACAGCACTTAATTGTAACAAGCCAATTATTTTGGTTTGGTTTTTGAATCAATATATTTAAGTTCACCTTGTGTTTTTTAATCATTCTAGTATTTGTTTTATTTGGGGTTTTTACTAAAACATTAGTATGAGTACGGTACAGTAGGGTAAACAGAATGGACAGCTGTAGTGGGGCAAGGAAAATACAGTACAGTAAGTCCGCGCTTAACGTCGTCCAGCTTAACATTGTTTCGGTACTACGTCGCTAAAGTTTAGAGACCAAAAATTTGTTTAACGTCCCGGTGATATGATACTACGTCGTTTTGCATCATCACGGACTACTTTCTATGGCGCACCACCCTCTCGTTTGGCCGAGCTACGCTCTATCGGCTCGGCGCAGTCTCAATGACTCCATCCACTCCCGCCATCCGCCTCCTCTGCTTCACCACCACCGCCCATCGTTAAGTACCAATACAAATTTAGTAGTTGTATATGAATGCAATATTTTCTATAGAAATGGCAATGATTTTGTGTATATTTAATATATTTCATGGGGCAAAGGGAGGCTCAGGAATGGAACTTCCATATTTTATCTACCCGTATTTCTTATGGGGAAAATTGATCTGCTTAACATTGTTTCGTATAACGTCGCATTTTTAGGAACATAACCCCGACATTAAGAGAGAACTTATTGTACTGTAGTGAATTTATTTGATGTTAATACTGATGATGCGGTGTCGAAGCTGTTGCCTCATAAACAGCACCTCGTCACTTTTCTATTTCTGGGCTTGCACAGCCAGGTAACCCAGCTATTTCTTAAAAGAGCTTGCTTAACCAGCCTACCCAGTCAAAATAATAAAAAAGTCGACACAACAACGGTCAACCACATAGTGATAAACTCCTTCACTACTGAATGCAACTTTTAATATTTTCTGTCGCTAATGCCAGGATATTTTATTCAGCAAAGAGAGACCCCTTGTACCTAAGGGGTTAACGTGAAGGTTGAAATGTACAGTCATGCGCCGGTTAACGTCCTAGATACGTTCTTGGAAACGTGACGTTAACCGAAATGGACGTTGTCCGATCATCACATAAACTTTGTATTTATACTTTTACGATCATCACCGGGAATTCTATCACCAGAACGCTTCTTGGAGATATTCTTCTTTATCACATTCACAGTTAATACCACAAAATTGGAGAAATAGTAAGCAAAAATCGCGTTATAGCAAACAAGCGTTCGCGTTATACAAATATCGTTCCTAATTCATAAATCGCATTAGAGCAAATTCGCGTTATCAAAACACGCGTTATAGCAGAACTCACTGTACAGTGGAAAGTGACGAAAGCAATGACTCGCTTTCTTTCGTTCAAAAGATGTTACCGTAATCGCTTTTCGAATGGTTTTCAGTTAAAAAACTTTTGTATTACAATAAGATTCTATCCTAATTCACTTTTGGTGCAACAGTTTTTTTAACTGAAATTCATTCGAAAAGCGATTACAGTAACATCTTTTGAACGAAAGAAAGCAAGTCATTGTTTTCGTCACGATTTTATCCCACTTTCCACTGGAATACGTAAATCATTTCAGCAAAAATATTACATTTCCGTGAATGCATTATATGAAGCACAGTATGAATAGAATATCATTGTAATATAACAGTATTTTAACCGAAAACTATTATAAAAACGAGTAACATCTCTTGAACATCGGAAGGTTAGGTAAAGTCTTTTGTTTTCGTCATGTATTTTATCCTATTTTACATTGAAATACATCATGTTTCAGCAAAACTGATATTTATTTCTGAGAATATATTCATTCGGGCGCAGTTTAGGGAAAATATACATGTGATGTAACATTTTTTTAACTGAAAATGATTCGAAAAACACGTACCCTCTAGCCCTGTTCAAGGAAAAGACTGGGAGGAGCTGTTTGGTGTTGAAGACGATGACAAGGAAAATAATTTTGATGGATTTTAATGAAAATATTCAGAAATATGGTACAGTGGTTCCTCGGTTAACGAGCACAATCCGTTCCAGCATGTTGCTTGTTAACCGAAAAACTCATTAACCGAAACCATTGTTTCAATTGGTTTTTGGGTAATTGGTTCCAGCTCACAGAAAATTGCCTAAATTCAACAAAAAATGTAGAAAAGCACACTTACTTTGAGGTGTGTATGTAGAAGGCTCCTGGATGATGATGATGATGATGATGGGATTTAGAATGGGGGTGGAGGAGAAGGAAGAAGAGAAGGCATTGGGGTGGAAGAGAAGTCACCCCATGGCGCCATTTCACCCATAAAATTTTAGCTCTCTTGGTGTAATTCAAGATTATTTTCTTTAAATCAACACTGCACTGCATTATATATTGTCAATATGTAAAATATATTTCAAAATGACCAATAATTTGCTTGGATACACAGGAAAAAAGCGTTTAGTTGAAGAGAGTCTCAAGCAAGATGTTACCTCCAGTGAAACCAGAGAGAGACTAACTCCTGTTTGCTGTGTTAAGAGGCTGGATGCCGCGCATTAAACTAGTCACTTTACCTTCAATGATGTTCAATAATTGTTAAAATGACTAAAAAATTGAATATTAAACTTTTAAAATTATTGAATAGTATAAACTTCTTGATATTTACTAAAATAGTAAGGAATTTAAGCCATAGAACCGATTAATGTATCGGCGGACTGATACTAAAGCTGGTTGCCCGGTCAGTGCAAGCAAAAACATGTTGAGGTCGGTTCGTAAGAAATTCGTTAACCGAATTTTTGTTCTTTAACCGAATTGAAGATCCTTATGGAAGGCAGTTCGTTAACCGAAATTTCGTTAACCGAGGCGTTCGTTAAACGAGGGGTCACTGTACACGAAAGCGCTTGGGAACTTCGTGTTTTCTTCCTTCCTTGTGGTTATCAGCATATACCTAGATCACGCGCATCTACAGTGATTTACTTGCATATATATATATATATATATATATATATATATATATATATATATATATATATATATATATATATATATATATATATATATATATATATATATATATATATATATATATATATATATATATATATATATATATATATATATATATATATATATATATATATATATATATATATATACAGTATATATATATATATATGTGTGTGTATATATATATGTGTATATATATATACAGTGACCCCTCCGTTAACGAACTCAATCCGTTCCAGAAGGTCGTTCGTTAACCGAAAAGTTCGTTAACCGAAACCATTGTTTCAATGGGTTTTTGGGTAATTGGTTCCAGCTCACCGAAAATTTCCTAAATTCAACAAAAATGGTAGAAAAGCTCACTTACTTTGAGGTGTGTATGTAGAAGGCTCCTGGATGATGATGATGATGATGATGGGATTTAGAATTGGGGTGGAGGAGAAGGAAGAAGAGAAGGCATTGGGGTGGAAGAGAAGTCACCCCATGGCGCCATTTCACCCATAAAATTTTAGCTTTCTGGTGTAATTCAAGATTATTTTCTTTAAATCAACACTGCACTGCATTATATATTGTCAATATGTAAAATATATTTCAAAATGACCAATAATTTGCTTGGAAACACAGAAAAAAGGGTTTAGTTGAAGAGAGTCTCAAGCAAGATGTTACCTCCACTGAAAAGAGAGAGAGACTAACTCCTGTTTGCTGTGTTAAGAGGCTGGATGCCGCGCATTAAACTAGTCACTTTACCTTCAATTATGTTCAATAATTGTTAAAATGACTAAAAAATTGAATATTAAACTTTTAAAATTATTGAATAGTATAAACTTCTTGATATTTACTAAAGTAGTAAGGAATTTAAGCCCTAGAACCGATTAATGTATTGGCGGACTGATACTAAAGCTGGTTGCCCGGTCAGTGCAAGCGAAAACATGTTGAGGTCGGTTTGTAAGAACTTCGTTAACCGAATTTTTGTTCGTTAACCGAATTGAAGATCCTTATGGAAGGCAGTTCGTTAATCGAAATTACGTTAACCGAGGTGTTCGTTAAACGAGGGGTCACTGTATATATGTATATATGTGTGTATATATATATATCATGTAAATCCACAATGAAAACGTGGATAAGATAGTTTTGATTCACAGGGAATTGAAAACATGAGGTCAGGTCATAATGAAGGCTGGTGGGATTAGTGATGCTCATTATGACCTGACCATGTTTTAGGTCACCCTGTATATTTAAGTTTCTCTCTGTCCATGTAATCCAAAGGTTTCTGAAGATGTCTTGAATAAAGACGGAAGCTAAGGTACTGTTTTATTTTCCCGTGATTTTATCAAGATATATATATATATATATATATATATATATATATATATATATATATATATATATATATATATATATATATATATATATATATATATATATATATATATATGCAAGTAAATCACTGCAGGTGCTATGATTTGTATATGTTGATAATTCACAAAGTACAGTCTGTACTCACCACTGAAGATGTGAATTACACGAAAGCGCTTGGGAACTTCGTGTTTTCTTCTTTCCTTGTATTATAGCATATATATCATATATTTATATATATATATATATATATATATATATATATATATATATATATATATATATATATATATATATATATATATATATATATATACACACACACACACACACACACACACACAGTTAACCCTCACTTTACGCGGTCCCGCATTCCGCGTTTCCACGTTAACGCGGTGCCTTGCCAGAACCTCACGTGCTCAAATTACGCGGTTCGTTAACCCCATTACGCGGAGAGTGTCCGGGGCGACGCTATTTTTAGATTCGCCCCACCCGCCACCCGCCCGCCTGCCTGCCTGTGCTCCTCGCCTCCTCCCTCCGCTTGGGCAAGCGGCGCGGTAAGGTTGCGCAGTGTGTGTCTTTGTTGCAGTTGTTCCAAGAGTTCAAAATTCTCACTCCAAAAAAGTTTGCCCTCCCAGTTTTCTGGACTTGTGGCTTCTTCAATCGTGAGCTGTGAACCCAGGTGGGGCGAGCGTCCACCAGCTCCAGTTATGGACACTCGACTGAGTAGTGCACTCTGAGATAACCTATACTTTTTAGGTTTTTTTCTCTCTCTTCCTATAGAAGATGGAATACATAAGAGGGTGTTGGCAAATTCTAAATATTAACCATTTATACACCTTAATTAGGGCACCCCTTGCCCATCTGAAATATAAGCTAGGCAGTTGCAAGAGCTTGAATCTCTGGATAATTGAGGTGCTATAGTGCAGGTGCCATTCTGGTGACCCTCCTTTGGATTTTTTCAATCAACTTTCACTCACATTCCTGTAAACATAATATCACTGATTTGAGACCAAGCAAAAACCCAATCAACAGAAGTTCGATGTTCTGGGTGTGTACCGCAATGTACGAACATAGATAATAAAATGTTAAATGTCTCGCTTAAACCTAATTTGCGCCATAAATTATATTGAAGAAAGGTGTCTTAGGATTGTCAAAACTACTGATTGCAACTATAAAATTCACGAGATTCATGTAGTGACAACATGTGAAATAATACCGGAAAAACATAGTTTTTGTTAAAATCGAAACCTGGCTATTATAATAAATTGATCCTGAACTATATAATTGCATAGCTAAGAAACACTTTCCAATTGTAAACCTGTATGACAATTTGGTCAATTTGCATTTTCAACCAATATGGTGCTCGAGTTTAGCAATGTGTTTTTCGATGGTTTAGACAATTTTGAGGTAAAATTGCAGATTACAGCAACCAAAGATTTTGAGAAAAAAATGTGTTACCTAACCTAATGTAATATAAGAAAATTATCATAAAAAAATTAGTTCAATCGATTGAGTGTAGTGAATTTCCGGAATTCTGTGGTTGCTGTTTACTGCACTATTACCAAATTAAAAACACCTTTCTTCTATGACGTTTCTGACGCAAATGACCTAAAATTACCTAAATTAACCTCCTAACCGGGGGGAGGGGGGCTTGGTCCCCGTGGATCCCCCGGTATCCAACTCATTTGCGAGGGAAACGTCATTGAAGAAAAGTCTTAAAATTGTCTAAACCATCGGAATAACAAATTGCTAAACTCGAGGACCATATTGGTTGAAACTGCTGCAATACCGACAACTATAATGAATATGTGCTAGTAGTAGTAGTAGTAATAGTAGTATCTTTAGCTCACAAGTTTTCCTCCCGTTCCCGACTCAAGTGTTAGGTGTTGACTATCCTGGGAGAAACAGTCTCGTTTAGATCAATGACTATCTTTGGTTGTCCTCCAGCATATAAAACTGAACCCAGTATGTTGTTATTTTCATTATTTTACGCCTATGTTCCTTTATTTTAAGTCCGTTAACTATGGTAACAATTAATGTTTGTTTTATGCGTACATTTATAAATTATGTAACAATTGCAAACTTCACCGGATGAGATCTAAACTCAAGATCGCTTATAACATTATTACCATTTTCCTCGGGGTTATTACAACTATTTAAAATACATTGAAATTATAAACTAAAGTATAAAACAGCTCCAAATGAAACTATATTGAAGCAAGAGGAATACGAATTTGTCCACCATGATAAAGTGGCCATATATCTTGGAGCTAAAGGCAGGACATACCAAATATCATGAAAGAAAACCCTACAACCCATATACCAACACGGATTACACGGTTATACTTGACCCAAAACCCAAACAATTGTACATAACAATGATATTTGCCTACTTACCTTCTAATGATCGTACTTTTCACTGGATAAGATTTGTTTTAACATCCCTAGATGTTAAAATTGTAGAATCCCAGACAGGTTTGGTTAAGTTAACTTTCGTGACTAGTAAGGCTTTGAGGATTGGGGCTTTTAGTTGTGATTTTTAAAATGTCTTCAGGTTGTTCATTTGATAGAAAACACGTTCGGTAGATGAATATGCTCCAGGAAGACAGAATGAACTGAACCAATTTTAACATGTGCTGCTGGGTGATATCTCTGTCCTTAAAGTGGGTAAACATTTCTACCCAGCGCTGGCCTGTAGGTAAATTAGCTGCATTCCACTCTGACACTTTGTCCTCGGAAATGTTGTGGGGTATAGTTTGTGTTTGTGTTCACACTCAGGATGGGATGGAGGAAGAAAACTCACAATGCGCTTTCTGTATATATATTGTTGTATAGTGCAGTGCTTAGGAGTGACTAGGTGAGGAGAAGCTTGCTCAGAGGTACTGTAGGACGAAGAGGTTTCTGAGGAAGCTGGATGGTGAGGAGTTGTGAGAGATGTTGCTGGGCCGGTAGCCGAGTGTAGAATGGTTTCCCTGGTTCAAGTTCAAGCTTAGAAGTATCCCTGTTCCAAGTTTAGAAGCTCCAACAACTTTCCCTGAATACGAATTCACAACCTTTCGATTTACAACAGGTACCTACTTTACTGCTAGGTGAACAGGGACCAAGGGGTTGTAGGAATTCGTGGTATAATGTTGTCTAGCACTCAGGATGGATGGAAACTCTAAGGTGGTTTTCTTGTATAATATAATTTATATGATAGACAGTCTGGTGCTGGAGGTGCCGTGTGGTGAGGAGCTGCTCAGTAGAGACGTTCGGTGAGTAGCGTGTTGAAGGAAGTAGATGTGCAGGAGCTTCGTTAGAGAAGATGTTGCATGTTGCTGGCCTCCTGGTTGAATGAAAGCTGGACAGCGTGGAGCTTGCTGGAGGAGGTGTTGCGTGTTCAGGAAGATGGGCAGAATGAATCTCAATGGAGAGACAGAGCTTATATACCCAGCAGCCGTGAGTCCTCTATGAGTCATGTAGGGAAAACCCGAGAAAGTCGCCGGTCTTTGGTTCGTTGCTAGGTTACGGTAACATCTGCTGTCGCCGCTCACTTGGTTGCTAGGATACTGTCGCATTGGAATGCGGATACGCAGTTGTAGGGGAGAAGTCCACTACAATACTCCCCCTCCCCTCCCGGCGCGGCGGGAGGCTGGATGTTGTCCGGGTTGTGTCCCACACATAACACATACCGGGCAGGTGTATGTACGACTCGACCGCTACGTGTAACAACTCCGTCTAGTGACACAAAACCTGTGGGAGAATTAGGAGGAGAAAGAGGGTTTGGGATTAGAGGAGGTTGTACAAGCAATGGTTGTTGTGCTCCTGCTGCTGCAGGGGCTGCATCAGGAGGAGGGTCCATGGCAGGAGCAGGTTCTATGATAGAAGGGAGGTCTATTACAGGTTCAGGTTCTATGACAGGAGGAGGGTCTATGACAGGAGCAGGTTGTACATGAGGGTGAAAAGAGGGTGCCCAGAAATGTCGTGGGCGTGGTGCTGCTGCCGGTGGTAACTGCGGGTAGACTGGTGCAGGCGTAGTTTGTTGATGGTGCTGCTGGGCTGGGGGCCCGACGGGTAAGGCGGCCGGTTTGACTCGGTCTATGCTGACGGTGTCATGTCTGCCATTCCGGATAATTGTCAGAAACTTTGCTGAATGGGTAACCACCTGGAAGGGTCCATCGTAGGGGCGTTGTAATGGGTTGCGGTGAGCATCATGCCTGACGAAAACATACTCGGCTGTGAGTAGTGCAGGAAGGATGTGTTCAGGGCGCCGAGTAGGCTGGCGTGGAGCAGTAGCTCTGAATGCAGAAACTGCTTGTCGTAGCTTTTGGAGTAAGTCGTGACGAACGGCTGGAGTGGTTTGGTTGGGATCAGGAGGAAGTGAGAAATCCCCGGGTAGCCGAAGGGGCTCGCCTAGTGTCAGATCTGCTGGGCTACAGTCCATATCCTCCTTGTGTGACGCACGGATGCCGAGGAGCACTAAGGGAAACGCATCAGTCCAGCTGTAAGGGTCGTGCTGTGCCTTGAGTGCGTCCTTCAGCTGCCGGTGAAAACGCTCTACCATGCCGTTGGCTTGAGGGTGGTATGCTGTAGTGCGTTGTCTAGACGTGCCGAGGAACTGTAGGAGGTGCTGCCAGAGTTGTGACTCAAACTGTACTCCTCGGTCAGTGATTACGGTTGCGGGGGGGCCAAAACGGGAAACCCAACCGGACATGAAGGCGCGGACAGTAGTCTCTGCTGTAGCGTTGGACATGGGAATTGCTTCTGTCCACCTGGTGAAACGGTCGATGCAGGTGAAGATGTAGGTGCTACCGTAGGATGATGGTAGAGGTCCCACGATGTCGAGGTGTACTACTTGAAAACGTCCTTTGGGAATAGGGAAGGTTTGTAAGGGGGCCCGTATGTGACGATGTATTTTGGAGGACTGGCAGGCCAGGCACTGGGCAGCCCATTTCTTAGTATCAGACTTGATGCCGGGCCAGACGACACGTTGCGTGAGGAGGCGCTGGGAGGCCCGCACACCCGGGTGGCTGAGACCATGGATGCGGTCGAAAACAGCGCGGCGGTGGACGTGAGGCACGAACGGTCTAGGCTGTCCACAGGATACGTCGCACCACAATTTTATCTTTGTGCCAGGAAGAGGGAGTTCTTGGAGTATGAGGCCTGAGGGGGATGTCTTGTATGCTGCCAGGTCTTCGTCTTTCTCTTGAGCCGCGGCTAGCTGCCCATAATCAATGGGTGGAGATGAGGGAAGAATGGTGGATATACGAGAGAGGGCGTCGGCGATCTCGTTGTGGCTGCCTTTAATGTGTTGGACGTCGCTGGAGAACTCCGAGATGTAAGGCAAGTGGCGCAGGACACGAGGTGTATGTGACTGGAAAGCTGAAGCGAAGGCGTGGAAGAGGGGCTTGTGATCAGTGAAGATGGTGAACTGACGGGCCTCGAGGAAGTGCTGGAAATGTTTGACAGCCAGGTATATGGCCAGGAGTTCTCGATCAAAAGCGCTGTACTTGAGGTGTGGTGGTTGAAGCCGTTGTGAGAAGAAAGCAACGGGCATGAAAATTCCGTTGATCTCCTGCTGTAAGACGGCGCCCACTGCAGTAGAAGAATTGGGAACCTGGATGGTAATCAATTTGCAGATCTTTTTCTGGGGTAATGGTTAGCCAGTGCAGTTGGCGAGTTGTCCAGTCTTCTCGGACTATTCCTGGACACTGGGTCATGCAGCCCATTAACTCAGGGTGTGGTTTTTGTGTTGGCGACAGCTTATACACCTTAAACAAATTCATGCCTAGGTGGCCCTCGAGCCGGTCATCCTCGTAACATGAACAGGACAGCATGTGAAAGGTGGCGACTCTGGACTAGCAACTGCTCACCTTCGTCAGTACAGGCTAGTCATCATATACATTTGCATAGTACTGTACATCTGTGCCATATTGCCAGGGAGTGTACCTCTTAATGCACAAAGAGGATTTTGATGTCTTGAACCAACTCTTCCCTTTAAGTGATAAATTTATTATTGATATTCTTGCATTGATTACTCAACTCTTACTTTATCTGTGACATTGTAATGTTTAAATTTTTCTTTGTTGACCTTTACATTTTATGTCTATGGAACATTCCTTGTACTGTCCTGTAGTGTGTTGTTTTTTTTATCCAAAGTTAAGTTCAAGTTTACACTTGATATGAACAATAATTAACAACTTTATATTAAACTCTCACAAGATAAAAACAAAAATAAAGTGATTGCAATAAGGTTTATTTACTATACAGTATACTATACATATTATTTGCAAAGAGAAACCGAAGTAAACAAAAATAATTGGATTATTTAAGTCTTTGAATGTACATTTAATACTTCAAAAACCTATTTTACACAGGAACTGAAATATGTTGCTTAAAAGAGTTTTTCTTAAATTTCTTTGGTAAAGGCATATGTACAATGACTTAGATTGTTTATTAGTGACATACAAACTTGTGATGACTTAACCTCCACACATTAACACCTTCTTCAATTAAAGAATAACATTATAAAAGTAAGTCTTGGAAGATGTTAAAATATTTATACTGCAATTAAAGGGGACAAGATATACTGTACAGTGTACACCAATTAATCATGTCAAAGAGTAAGTTTCTTAACACAGTTTTCAGATTAAACTAAAGAAATGCTCCTTCCTATGCACACATCAAAAACGTTTTAGCATATTAAACAGTGTGGAACAGTGTCCTTTGCTACTTGCTGAAAAAAAAAATATCACAAACTTTAAGTAGATACTTTATGCTTACACAAGTAGGAAATGACCTTGATACTATCATTGAACAGTAACAGTATCACTTTAATCAATTACATCTGGGTTTACCTCTACTTACTGTAGTTATACATCAACAATGCACTTTTATTAAAGCTCTACACATTAAAAAAGAAAGAACATTTCATTATAAGATAGACAGACATTGTTAAGTTGATAAGCTGCAACTTGGACCAGAAGGTGC